TGAGATCCATTTAATTGTAGAACTATTTTATGACTTATAATGTAGTCTACATATAAACTGTGTAAATGTATTACGCCTCGGAAGGGTTGAAACCTGTCCAAACTATCATATATATTATTAAAACGTAAATGGGGTTTTTTCACGATTCTGAATCAACCAGACGATGGATTTTCTTTAGTTTTGTGTTGAAAGAGACAATTTTGAGAACTAGAGAATTTCAAAGCCATAATTTAAAATTAGTGTCCCAGTTTTTATAAATTAAGTTTTAGTTTTTAAAAAGTCTAGCAGCCGATGCTAACCTTCTCCAATAAGTCAATGCTTCTAGCTAGCTTTTAGTACAATATAATTAATTTTACAATTAAATATGCATAGTAAAATACAGTAGTAGGATGTTCAAATTATTTTTTAAAGTATTCTTTGTAATCATTGATTTGTTTTAGTCCAATATAATTTGTTTTAACTAACAGTTGGTTGAATGTGCTATGTATACTTATAAAAGTCAAAGCCCTCACTGACACACTCACTCTTACTCACTCATCATCACTAATTCTCCCACTTCCCATTTACCTAGGAGGCTGAAATTCGATACACCGATTCTTTGGGCATTAAATAGGAAAACTAAGTAATTTTTATTATGATAGGGCATTCGAGCTTCGCCCCAGTGGCTCTGGAGTTTCCCATGTTAACCTTATGATTTTTCATATTTAAAAGGAATTAATGAATCTTAACAGCTGTGTCAATTAAACAATTTATGACAACAGCTAATTTGGAACCAAAAGCTGAGTGAGCGTTTCGAACGAACTTCAACCTGGAGGCGAGTTAACCCCAAGGCAAGTGAGCTCAGCGAACGAGCTCCAACCATAGACTAACCAACACAAGACTAAGGGAGTATGTTTTATCTATGCTCCAACCTAAAGGTGAGTGAGCGTAGCGAACGAACTTCAACCAGGACGTGATTGAGCCATGCGAACGAGCTCATCTTGAAAATTAAATAGTTAAACGGGGCAAAGCCAGCGGGTACAGCTAGTTATTCTATAGAATTATTGGGTTTTTAGCGAATTTCGCATATAGGGAATAAGCTATTACCGTAGTACTCATGGCAACACCTGGACCCGGGACCGATGTAATTTTTCGTTTTGAGTCCCTAGAGGCCAAAAACACCATCCGTTCAAATTCATATATATGTAAGTGTATAAGACATTTTGGGGACTTGACTTTTTCGGGTCTCAAGAATTTATACGAAAATACACTATTGCAATATTTTGAGGACTTGAATTTCCGTATGTGTATAAGACATTCTGGGCACTTGACTTTTTCGGGACTCGAGAATTTAGTACTTTTCGAGGACCTGTGCAATTTATTCCATTCCAAATGCAGCGCGTTATCGATCTTTACCCTTGTGTGGGCCTCCCATTCACTGACGGAATGTCTCGTGGCGTATGACGACCGGATATAAATAGTCACTTTACACTCACTTATCATTATGAAATGTAGTGAGGATTACATCAGGATTAGAATGTGTGTTACAGAACAAGAAACTGATGACAATAGTTGGAATAACTAGTCAAGGTCAACGCACTCGATGAAAGCGCGGGATTAAAAAAGGCGCGAATATGTGCAAGTAGTATAACCAGCGACAACACCTATGTAAAACCAGACATAAGCTATATTACAACTAGGCCTACGAAAAAGTCAAACTATGTAAAGAATGTATCACTGAATATGATTAGACGAAATCACAGAGGTACAAACTATGTTAGATATTTACGTGGTAAAGGAGTGTAGTTTCCTGATAGGTCTAAACAACGTCATCAGTTCCCAAATCAATTATTTTTACTAGTTTTAGTCATACAATTGTTCTAATTTAAACTTGCGCTATTATGCTAATTCAACCTAGGGCAGATGTAGTTCCCACAATATATCTATACTTACACGAGGAGAGCGTGGTTTCGGTGGTTACGTAAAGTAAGAAATAATAGATGTAGAAAGAAATGTGTAGATTTTGAACTTTTTTCTGTTTTCATTGATTTACTGTGTTGATTATGCACCACAGTGCTTTGTATTGTAATTATTTTCTGCCATTATGAAAAATTCATTGCCAATATTTCTTTTAAGGTCCCTTGCATTATTTTGCGTGTACAGTACTGTACTAATATGTACTAGGTGTTATTCATAAAAATACTATGCCGCAAACCCAAACTCAAACGATGATGATGATAGTAACGTTAATGATGTCGCTAAAACAATTTAACAGCTGAAAATAAGTGAAATAGAAAAGGTTTTGGTTAAATCCATCAAATGAAACTCGCCTGTCGTTATTTTACCATCGCCTTTTTTTAAAATATCTTTTTCAAAAAAGAAAGATTATATTGATTTACTTTGGATTTTAAAAATGTTAACGTTTTATTTTATTAAAGATTTATGGTGATACTGTACGTAAATATTGTGGTGTAGTAAAGTATATTATATTGTAGTTAAGTGTTAAATTTTGAAATTTTAGGGTGAATCGATATGAATATTTTTTTATAACATGGGTCTCTCCTACCTTAACATACATACCAAGTTTCATAAACATCGGTTGGAAAAGTGCAAAGATAAATATTTGTATGTAAAAAATACAAAATGGTGGATATCTGGTTAACGAAACGATTTCGGAAAAAATGTTATCCTTGATTTTCTGTTTATTTTGACCCAAGGAATTACTAGGTAAAGTATCTCCCCGCTTATTTTTAACACCCTGTTTATGATGTATTCTTATAAGTGAAAAATGTAAGCTGGTAATACAGAAAGATGTTTTATAAATAATATGAATGTACTGGTGATCTGTATATTCATCTTTTTCTTGTCCTTAGAACTGTAAATTAAAAGTCCACTCAGCAGTCGCATCGTACGATGTAGTTCTTTCCATGCGTTGCGAAATGCTAAATTTGCCGTCCTCTTCAACCCAAGTTATCTGTTGAACCACTGATTGTAAAAAATTCAAAAAAATATATTTTACGCATCACACTTTTGGCTACAACTTTGCCACAGACAAAACCTCTCTAACCCAAAAACAAACAAAAATCTCGCAAGCTAACTTTTTCATGTTAGAAATCACGATTTAAAACTATTTCACCATACATATCAATTTTTATTAATTAGATCGGTTAATAGTTTAAAGTTCCAACAAAATAGTCATCGAGTAGGACTAACCAAGAAGCTCTGTGCCAATTTTCAAAATTTTAGCACAACTTTAAGTACACCAAAACGCGAAATTATTGAAGTCATGCGTCGAGAGGACTATCGTTGTTTTAACAGATTATACTTTTGACCTTCCGGCACTGTTGACTCAGCGAAACTGAACTTATATTTTATCTTATTTCGTTATATTAAAACTGCTGTTGCATTAGGTCAAATTCCCAAAAAGTCAATTGCTTTAACATAGACCACGTTTTTAGCTCGGACTGTACTATTTGACTTACTGGGATTTTTGATCTACAGACACTGCAAAGATTGTAGTTTTTGACCTAGCGGCACAGGTATAAATTATTTGACCTTCCGGGACTGTTGACTTTCTGCAACGCGTCCCATCATCACCACATAGGGATGGCTAGGATTACTCTAACAGGAGGGTGAATTGCTTGGAACTCTCTAGCAGAGGAGCAGACTGTTTGATCTGTTTGGACTATACTACTTGGATTTTATAGCAGTTAATCAGACGAGACTGTGTGGATTTCCCTAGTGGGTAAGCAGACAAAATTGTTTGGAGTTCTCTAGCAGGGATTTGGACTAAAATGCTTGGATTACACCAGCAGGTAGATTTAGAAGCTCTTCTTACCAGAGCTTGTAGAGGCCCCGACTGTGTGGAGAGAGACTGATTTGTTACGGCGTGACCAACTGACAACTGATGACAGGGCTCTTCTGCACTTCGCTTATAAGGAGTTTTCTGGGGAAATGGTCTGCCGATGCCTGTTTCTGCTGCACTCCTATATGCCTGCTGGGCTCATTCTATTTCACTTTATTAGAGATTTTCCACTTAGTTGGTGTCTGGTAACACCTTGAGGTGAGGAACTCACAATATGCCATATGATATGTTAGGATACCTATTTATTTTTAGTTAGGCTTAAGGATCATGGTCATGGTATTGGTTCTTTTTCCTCATCTGAATACTGCTTCTCTTACAAGACAATACAAGTGTAACACAGTCAACTGTGTGTGTGTGTGTTAGTCGTTATCGTGTATTGTATACTGTAGGAGTTACAGTGTTTATTGTTTTAACAAATATCTTCTACCATTGCCTCTATTGTTCATGTCTAGTAATCTATTTGTTCTTATTTATGTTTATAGCCTACTTAAATCTAGTCAATTTTAAAATGTCCATTCACCATGTACATGATATGTAATATTTTTATTTTACATATAGCCTAACTTGTTAATCTGACAATGTCTATTGCTGTACTTCATGTTCAATGACCAAATAAAGAATCTTGAATCTTGTTTTCTTATTTTAACTCATTCTTATTTTTTACTTGTTAATTGATTTTCTTTACTTTAGTTGTATACATTTCTATTAAGTTGGTGCAAAAGGCATTTTTGGGAATGTAAAAAATATAAAATTAGCTCTCAAAAGAAATCAATAAGTATTTTACATTATTGTAAAGCAGCCCAGAATCAGTTTATAAATGCAAAACCGAGAAAAAACCTTACCATTATCTGACAGTATTATTCTCAATTCCCTCATATCTTATTAAAGTGTAGGACATTACTGGCTTTTCAAGCCCCAAGGATGAATAAGTGATTGTGAATGAATTTTTCCAGGGGTGTAAGGAAACTCTCACCCACTGGCAAAATGATTGGTCTAACCCGGACTAGATGTTTTACAAGATATCAAATACAGTATGTAGGCCTACGGGAGAGATAGCCCACATGGGATCCTGTTTGTTGGTTAAAACTTAAAGGAATTAGGGTTGATGATGTGCTTAGGAAACATCTGGATCCATATGAAGAAATGATTCACTTAATTATATACAACAATTGTTTATTTTCATAACTTTTACAGCATGTACATTTTTGGGAAAAATAATAGGTACACTGAAATTTCTCATTTTCTTTCAAACAAACCCTGTTGTTTTGAAAAAATACATGTTTTTTTAGATGTTCTTAATGGAGAATGAGTATTTATTAGTATTATGTAAACGTTGAAAACTGGAATGTTCATAGTGCTGGCTTTTGTAGCCCTCATAAAAAGTTACAATTATGAAAATATTAAAGCCAACAACTATGCATCTGAGTGAACAACAAACAAATATCTTCAAACACTAACAGGTAACCAAGGTAGACAACAAAACAACTTAAAAACTAAAAGATTCTTATGGTACTAACAAACACTCGTGTAGCTATTATGTAAAATGATATATATTATATTATGTTGTGTTATTTGTTAAAGCATTTACATGTCCATCAATGTGGCATTTAAATCAGTCATTACGTTGCATTTTATTATGTTTAAATAATTAAGTTGTACTTTAACATTTTTTATATTAAGATCATAAATTCACTTATAAACCTATGAATAAAATGTTCAAAAAAACTTAACCGTTTCTAAATTCAAGAACCATACCCCCTAATTGAATACTGACCTATCTTTTATGTAAATTTACCTAGTATTTAGTTAGCTATACATGTACATACCAAAGCGTAAAACTGTGAGATTTTCTAAAATTATAATTGTGAATTGAAAAATTTTACAATCTAGTTTTAGTGTTACAAAGGAATATCACAGACTAGAGTCGTTGGTAATTTGGTTTGGTTAAAAATGCCAAAACAATGAGTGATAACATTTTATGAAAAAGCAGAACAGTAATTATATTTAAAAGGGAGTAAAATTTTGATAAAAAAATATTTATATGAATTATACCGGATTTATCTGAAAAAGAATGGTGGGATTTAAAACGGTCATTGCTTGGAGTTTTTTTAGATAACTATTCAAGATAACTAAACAATTTAACTGTCAAATTTGAGTTGAAATACTACTAAGTTTCGTTTTGTGTGTAGCAAGAAAAAAAGGTGCACAAAAAGACAGCTGTTGTGACTCATATATATGGCCAGTCGCCAGTCAATGTCAACGGTGCAACAGAAGGCACAGTGTGATCTGAAGTTCGCTGAGTTTAAATTGATTGATAAATGTTTGCTTTTTCATATAGTAAACGGAAGAAACATAATAGAATCAGGCTAACCTGAGCTGATTTGAACTGGACGATGTGTGAATAACCCGATTGCTTGGAATAGCCACAGTAATAGTAAGACAAAGGATGATTGGATGATGAGTGTTTTAAGAAGAGTTTAAAAATAAATAAATGTGTTAATTTAGTAAAGTACAGAACCCTTGCACAGTTCACATAATATAATACTGAAAAAGGTTATGGTGTTAAAAACAACAAAACGTAACTGCAATTCCCTATATTTTTGACATCAACATTGCTGACTCATTGTGTTTACTTAAATAAAATTTGAATTCACGTAATTATTTCACTTGACGAAGTCTTAACGTTTGTGTCCAACAAAATTACGATACTGTATTTTATATAACATCATGCTTAAAATTTTAAAAATTAATTAAAAAATACCTAGATTTTATATTTCACAAAAAAAATGAGCACCCCAGCTTTTTTGTTGTGAACTTTGAACTCCAGACAAATTTTTTAACAAAACCCCTTCAACAAATGGTATGTTAAAATTTATAAAGTTCAGTTTAGCGGGACCTTGAATTCTAAAAAATCAATACCTAGTTGAAAACTTCTAATCAAACTTAACATGAGTATTGAAACAAAATAGTAAGAAAAAGAACAAAGAAACAAGAAAAAGAAATATTGTAACTTTTACAACAACTATTGTAACTTTTACAACAACAATATAATGATTCCCCATGAGTTTTAGTTGTATTTACTAAATCAAATTTCAGTGATACAAGAACCCAAAGCCAAAGAAATACAGGTACCACTTTAATGTGTTACATCCCTCTGGTTTTCTACATAATAATTTGTGATTTACATTTGGTAATGAGACACGTTCACTTAAATTTATAAAAAAATGTTAATTTTATAATGGCTATCATAGAAAAGGCATGTACAGTTAAATCATCAAGACCCTAGAAAAGTCAAGCTATGGCCGTAAATGTGCGTGAGTAGAGAAGTGAAAATTCTTAACATATAAAAAAAAATTACAGAGGCATATAATATCAAAGATAAGGACCTGCATTTCAAAACACAACCTGAAATTTCAACAACTTTGCATTCATAATATAATAAGTACATTATACAAACAACAAATGTTAAGGCAAAGCTATTCAAATGCAATGTTCCAACTTATCAGTTGCAAAATAAAACGAAAAAAAGCTTCAACATATTTAACTGAAAGAGAACAAAAATTAGTGGTTTTCTAGTTCATGATGTTGTACTAGTCGGTTCTTTCTTCTGTGGTTCCTTCCTGGAGGCTAAATCCTTCTCAGGTTCTTTTTTCCCTGACATTATCGCTTTGATGTCATCTGCGTCAAGGGTTTCATATTTCAAAAGTGCTTCTGCAAGCAATTTGTGTTCCTTCTGGTGATTTTTGAGAATCAATTTTGCCCGCTCGTAAGATTCCTGAAACAAAAAATTAACTTCAGTAGGTCTAAAACCTTTCATACTCACCTAGTTTGGGACTATTGTAAAAACCGGAAAAAATTTCAAGGGAGAAATGATCAAAGGGGTAGAATACCTCCCCAATATTTCTGAATTTAAAGAGTACAGATAATCTGAATAAATGTTGACTGAGCCCTGTTTGAATCATTGTTAAGAATAGCCAAGAAAAGTTGTGAAATCACAAAAAAATTTACTTTTATAGCTGCTCCCTTGATGACGACAACACTGTGATTGTCTTAAGCTCATGAAAGGGTGTGATAGCACGGCCACCTTTAACTACAGGCCGTGGCGTTCGAAGTGGCAACACCGCATGGGATGGCTGGATGGCTACTGCTACGCTACACCACTGAACGCTCGCGCTCGCGCCATACGGAGGATTGGACCAAGCACGCAAATGATCTATTAATTTAGATGTTTTATATCTGACAACACTGTTGTGTAGGAAAAGAAGGAAAGAATTATACGAGGCTTTTGTGTCAATACTAGAATATAATACAATATTTATTAAAACCTTTTACGGTACATTGAACATATAAGTATTAGGCCTATAATTGTAGTTTTCTTCCGTCTCTTCTACGTATTTACTCTATGCTTTATTATTTGTTAAACACTTAAAATTTAAATCCTATTTACATTATTTAGTTAAAGCTTCTATGTAAGCTATTGTTTTATCAATTATTAGAATGATGACGTTTACTATACCAAGTAAAAATTAACAAAAGCAATAAATAAAATTATTTAATTCAAGAAAGGATTGACATTTTTCTATGGTTACAGTAGCTATTATTTTTAGCTTTTTTTACTTTCGTGTAGTTATTTAACAAAATATTGCTCATTCTTAAAATAAATTTTGACACTATTTCCTTCAAATTAACTCCAAAAATACAAACAGTTTCAGCTATTTCTGAAATATCGATATCTGATATAAAAACCACAGTTACTAAAACCAGCCAACACAGAAGAACAACAGAACGCTAATTATACATGTTGTCGCTAATTTTAGTAATTCGCTAATTCCACCTAATTCAATCAAGATGGTGGTCGCCACGCCGCTATTGGTTGATGAGCGCTAAGCTAAAAGTTTCCGCTAGCCCCGCCTTCCGATTGTCTGTTGCAAGAATATTATCAATGGATTAGTTATTAATGGTTGTGCAATAACAAAATGAATGAAGTGATGTTTTTATTTCTCATAATACTACATAATAACGTGCAAACAAAACATATACTTGAAATGCATAATAAACTACAGCAAAATTATTAAAACTTAAAGGTAAAGGCATTTCTGTTTTAGGCTACGGTATTTAATTATGAAGACATTAAGTCGTGTAGTGTGCACCGTGTACGTGTAAACTTGTTGGTTGGATTGTAGTAAATAGTTAACCTGTCTTCAAAATGCATTCAATGCTGTGCTGTTGACTGTGTAATAAAATTACTTACTACAGGATAATATAAAAGGAACACAGGTAGAGCTTTCAGTTATAACTGAACTTCTGTACTGGTTGGGAATGTATGTATATTAAAAGATACAAAAGTAATATTCTTGAGGATAACCAAAATGCATATTAACCTGCTTGAAATAATTCAGTTGGCCTACATTAATTATTAGCTATGCGATGCTACACTACATCTTGCGGGGCAGCGCTACTCGCTGCACCGCGACACACAACTGAGATTTGGACGCTCTGTTCAACCCAAAATTTTAACAAAACTAAGCATGATAGAAAGAAAAGTTAAATAAAAACAGTAAAGTATATTTAATTATCTACAACTTTCTCACAGACGAAACTTCTCTGACCAACAAACAACAATTTTAGTAGGCGACTAACTTTTTCACTTTACTTTTCCAAACTTTTTCTAATGTGTTAGTTTTAAAAATATTTATATATACGACCAAATGAAGTTTTAGTTTTCAAAACCATACAATTGGCATGAAGGGTTCATTCCATAGCCCTGTACCAAATTTCAAAATTTTATCTCAATTGTAAGGGTGTAAAAATGCAGTATATTTAAACCGTGACCACTAGTTCCGTACTACCATAATGGTGAAACGGCCGGGAGTTAATGCTCGGTAGGGGTGTGCGAATACTACTTTTTCTTTTCGAATCGAATACGAATCGAATAGAGAGAATTTCAAATCGAATTAAAATTTTTTCGAATCGAATACTTTCTCTCAAATAGTATTTGAATAGTGAACATTTTTTAACCGAATACTAACCCTCAAGTAATGAAAACTTGAAATCAATGTCAAGTCAACTCTCAATAACTTAATTACTAAAACTGATGGTATATTTTTTCAGAATAAGTGTATATTGTAAATGTATCTTTTGTTTATTTAATTTAGGCCTAGTTTAATTCAATAGGTAACTGAACTTAGATAATAAGTAAAGGTACAAAGCTGAACCAAGTTTTATTAGTCAAAATTATAAAGCACTAACAATAACAAATTTTGTAAAACACATTCAACCAATTGGGTAGTGATAATCATTATAACCACATAAAAACGCACATTGTTTTCTTTAACTAAGTAGGGATTTAGGCCTACAACTTACTGTCAGCCCTAAGTTTATGTTTTAGAACATAACTTTAAAAAGGTATGCCTAAAATAAAACTTGTTGTCATAACTTAACATAGCCTAATCTCATGACTTGGGCTTAGGCTACTGGACAACTAGGTTTGAAGTTACAAGAACCTAGGCCCTATTTTTAACCATTTACAGTACCTTGGGTAATACTGAACTTATACTACTTATGTTATATTGCAGTTTTTTTGCCTTATCTACCTAAATTAGACTATTTTAAGCAGTTTTTACCATTGGCACTTTTGGGGGAAACGTCTATTTCACCCTGAAAATTGCGTTTGAAAATCAAGAAAAATGCTAAAATCAATGATTTTTGGGACTTGAAAATTTTCTTTTTAACTTAGGTGTGATTTTTAAAATTATTTAGTCAATTTTAAAAACTTTTCTGGCAAATGCCGTTTTTCACAGGAAACCAAGTTTGAAAAATCATAAAAAATAGTTAAGTGCCAAAATGACCCAAATTTGTCTTGGGATTGGATCTTGGGAATGGATTCACCTCTTGTTTTTACCATTGGCACTTTTGGGGGAAACGTCTATTTCACCCTGAAAATTGTGTTTGAAAATCAAGAAAAATGCTAAAATCAATGATTTTTGGGACTTGAAAATTTTCTTTTTAACTTAGGTGTGATTTTTAAAATTATTTAGTCAATTTTAAAAACTTTTCTGGCAAATGCCGTTTTTCACAGGAAACCAAGTTTGAAAAATCATAAAAAATAGTTAAGTGCCAAAATGACCCAAATTTGTCTTGGGATTGGATCTTGGGAATGGATTCACCTCTTGTTTTGTTAGTTACATTCCACATATTACATACCTGAGGCCCAAGAGGAAGGCATTTCTAAGGATGAAAGAGGCCACCAACCTCTGTAAAATAATAAAAGATCATAAAATTCTCACCTGCAGTATCCTTTGGATTTCGTTATCGAGAACTGCTGATGTGGAGGGACTCAATTCATTGATCTGAATCAAGCCCTGTTTATCTGTGTCATGGGTTCGTAAACCTGCTTTTTCTGACATCCCCCAGTCTTTAACCATATGAGTCGCAATCGCAGTAGCTTGCTGTAAACAAGAAGCTAGCATTATCGTTTCATTAAGGTTATATTAAATACACCAATTTTAATAACAATAATAAAATTTTGGTAAAAAAACACAACAGCTGTTTTAGGAGGTAACCTTCCACACTCAAAATATACGGTTAAATCTTTGGGAGATTTCAGCGTTGATGAACTGGCCTGGATTGCTCCAATTCATTTGAAATATCAGCCAGTAGTTTTAATAGTTGGATTTTTAGTTTTAAGACTGGATTTTATAGTTGTAAAAGAAATTTCAAGAAGATTTACATTTTTAAAGTACGGTACCTATTTAATTTTTATTGTTTCTAAAATACTTTTTATTTAACATTTTAAAAATCTCCAGAGCAAATGAAAAATTCTTGATTATTACTTCTTTTTAGAGGTATGCGAATATCTAAGAATTCGAGTCGGATTTGGTTCGGGTAGATATTTGTATCCAAACCGAGCCCAAATTTGATATCCGACACTAGCCGTTAAATACCCAACTTTTTCGGATAGATTGTATATTATTATGACGTTTAATATTTAACTATAGTTGCGATAACTTTTTTTATTTTCGTAGCGTAAGCGCCACAGGCTTCATGGCGCAAACGTGTGAGCCTACCGTTCACCAAATTTGTTTTTTCGGGCTTGGCGCATTGAACCTCAACGGTTTTGTCCCAGAACTCTCCCCTGTCTTCTCTGGAGTCTCGCAGCGCTCGAGGCTACACCGCCTTGTCCCACACAATTTCAATCTCAACGAACATAAGTTTACCAATATAAGGAATAGGTTAGCGTGTTAGGATAGGAACATATAACCAGAGGGGAAGCCTAATGGCTTTCGCCCCTCCACTGGTAAAATATAATTTAGGGCAAATGTTTGGTTCTGCTTAACCGGACTAATCAGGGCCGATTTACCGAATAGGCACGGTGGGCACATGACTAGGGGGCGAGACAATTGGTTTTTTTAGGGGCACCAAAATATTTGAAAATAAAAATTGGTGGTTGTATTTGCATGCAATCGCGGTAAAATTATGATAATCCCTCGCGGCCATGTACACATCGTAATTGTCTTCCGCAATTGCGGCAAAATTATGACTATTTCCCGCGGTCATGTAGACATAATTTTATCATCTTCCATGATCGCGGCATTATATGAGCATATTCCACGGTCGTGAGGATATTATCATCTTCTACCGTGAATGAGACAAAATTCTGATTTTTCTGGCGGTCGTGCGGATATAATAATTGTCGTATGATGTTATGAGCGATCGTGATAAATTGAAAATTCCAGTTAGAAATACAAAATCACACGTATTTCTAGGTTTAAAAAAATCAAACATAATTCTTGTATTTTCGGGTTTTCTCAGTCGGTGACAACCTGTTATATCAAAATCAGGCCTGGGACTAATCCCTTTTAGTCAGTTATTGCTACCACGTTGTTAAAGGAATGTAACTTGCCAGGAGAAGATCCTAGTCTCAGTTCAATTACCAGATCAATTTCATAAGCTATTCTCAGTGTCAAATCATCAGTGTAATTGTGTAATCAAAGTTAGCTTGGGCTACATTCTTGTCTAGGTAAAAGGTCTCTGTCATCTGGTCCCCAGCAATTGTTTCCAATAATTATTAACTATTACGGTGTCGGTAGCAGCAAACATAGGTTAGGGCCCAGACAGGCTAGGGTCCGATTCCAGGCTCTAGAGGACTAGTCCCACATTCCGTAAGTCACAGAGCTAGTCTCTGCACCTACCTACGAACACTAGTACGTACTCCATTCCACCAACACTCTTACACACTTTCAGTAAAACCAAATACACCACCAAATTACACCCACCATATCTACCCAACTGAACTCCCCCCTCACATTGTTGTGGTATACTTTTTATTGGTGGGTTGGCGTCACTGATCTCGTAACATCTGTTGTATACAAAACCAAACCAGCCAGGTGATTAATCTTCATGTTATTGTTTCGCATGCACAGACCAAAACACTCCGTTCTTCTTCTTTCTGATGCGTTTTGAGTAGGGATGGACGAGGTTGGATTTTTAGTTTAATACGAAACGAGACAAGATTTTTATTTCTCAAAAAATTTTGAGACGGGATTTCCCTTCTCATTCACAACGGGAAATGCACATTCGACATTTTTACATGATTTTGTAACATTGTTAGATGACTGTTTAAATACAATAATAATAATAATAGGCAAGAATATTTAAAATCTTTTATTAAAAACATTATCATAAAAAAGTTATATTAATTACGTCCAACTTATTAAAAATGCTTACAATTAGGAAACATGGTGATATCAGTTAGGATAGAGTTAAACTTATACTCAAATTAAATAAATCATAAAATAAAACCAATATTCATTTGTATAAAATAGTTACTTGTTTTGGCTTTGTTTTAGTAGTAAAACATGTCTCACACTGATTACACTTAAAAAAACTTCTCAAATGATAAAATAATTAAATTAATATTTACATGTAAAGAATTAATCAAATAAGAACGCCTTTGCAAAGGAAACGCAACTACAACGTGCTCCTGTATTGCGGGTATCGCATTGACTTCCTAACAGGCGTTTTTTATTTTTTTATTCTCGTCTCGAAAAAGTCTTGATATAAAATAAATCTTGTCTGGTATATTGAGATTTAAAATTTCCTGAAATTTTGAGACTTGACCATCCCTAGTTCTGAGTCCAGCGCTGAAACTCTAATTACCTCAGGCTGTTTTAAATGGAATATATTCAGTGCATTAGAATGTGTTTGTGTTGTTTATTGAAAATGGCGTTTGGATTTAACTATGCATATTTTAGAGCAGACATAGAAGACACTTATAGAATTACAGAATATTTCTGATAGAGACGCCGCTGTTCATCTTTCTGACAATGACAAAAAAGGGGTGCAAAGGGGTTCACATCCCTTAAACTAAAAAGTCACTACTTGCACACCCCTATAATATATTCATTAAAGAGCATTTGAAAACTTATTTATTTTTAAATATTCATTAAAACTATCACAAACACGGTTCATTTACACGCAACTTGGACCACGTAAGCCCACATAATTTTTTTGGATTTTCCAAGTCCGTTGCAGAATGTTTAAAAATGTTCTGCTTTGGGGTACTAACATTCTCATGGGGAGGCAGGACTAAATATTAATAGGTATTTAATTATTTTTCTATTCGACCCAATATGTTTTGTTGCTTGATCTTCTTTTTCCAAAGGGTTATCAGTAACAACAAATCATGATATGCTAAGAATAGCCTACCTACAATGGAACTCTGAATTGCCCTTGTATAATTTGTTAGGATACATCATCTCAGGGAAATAGCTCTTCTTCAAAGTTGAAATATTATAAACATTTTGGAGGTTACCTTAAGATCACTGGAGGCCCCAGAGGTAATCTTGTCTGCGCCAAAGATAAGTTCCTCCGCAGCTCGACCTCCCATCATGGTATCCATCATAGCTAGTAGCTGGGACTTGGTCACATGGTAGCGTTCCTTCTCAGGGATATAGGCTGTCTGGATACAACAAGTTTTAAATGAAAAAACTAATAATAGGTGTTTTACATTAAATAATACCTGAAGGCATTTACTATGTTAATTTTTAAGGATTATAGTTGAGACCGAAGGTTTAACTGAATTTTTAACAATCGAGGAGTAAACTATTCAAATTAGTGTGTAAAGCATTCAGGATAGACTCCTTCCTAATCAGGTAAGTTCCAACTAAAATACTTAATTCCTAGCTTCCTACAATTGAATTAACCACCTTAAATCCTTGGGTGTGTTGTTTGTCTAATAGCTAGCGTCTCCGAAGGTGGCATCAAATCAAATAAAGTCAAATCTTTATTGCCAGAACATTTTACAATGAATAGCAATTTCAACTAGATATATTAAATATATAACTATAAAACAGTCCACAGATAATCATATACATACTTAAGTTATACATGGCCATTAACATTAAGGAAAAACTCATTTATGTCATATGGACTAATGCTAATCAAAAGATGCTTAACGTTCCTCTTACAACAGTTAAATTCTAAATATTTATAATGAGAAGGTAGAGAATTATACAGTTTTCACCCATTGCAACAAAACAATTCCAAGTAGCCTAACTTTTTAATTACACTGGGAATTCTAAGTGAGTTACAGTTTCTAGTAAAATAGTTATTATGAACATTTTTGTTTGTTGATATAGTATGTAAATTTCTTTTAATAAACAACAGACACTCTAAAATATACACTGCAGGTACAGTGAGTATATTAAATTTTCTAAACAATGGCTTACTGTGGGTCCTCATGTCAACATTTGCTATAAGCTGTGAATGAAGTACCTCAAATTTTGTAAATACATTAAAATGGAAATGTAAATAGAATTTTTTGCTTGTATATATACTTTCTGATTATATTATACTTTCTGTTTTTAGTTTTATCTAGTATTAGTAAATTGACAAGAGTTATCCTGTAAAGCAGTATATACTGAGGAACGCTTGCTAAATAAAGGCCTTTTTGATTTGATTTGTTAACTTTAATAGCGCGCTTTTGTTCAATAGCCATTTTTTTAACGCTTTTGTCATTACCCCATACAATAATTCCATATGATACATAACTATGAAGGTATGCATAATAAACAATAATGAGAATATTCGTTGACACAATAGATCTTGGCCTAATCAACATAAAAGTACCCTTAGATAATTTGGTACGATGAGGGCGGATTAGATCCCTGGCATATCCACAAAGATATAAGAAGTTTGGACCACTTTCTCTTAAGAGCCTTAGTAATTCTTTCATTGAAAATACCAAAAGCGTAAACATTAGTAAAAAAGCAGCAACACTTGATTTGAGACAATGCCAAATTGCCTCAATGTGGAAATGTAACTTACATGTCCAAGTGACGGGCCTCTAGGGATGATTGTGACTTTGTGTAAGGGATGTGAGTCCTTCGTGTAGTAAGCAACCACAGCATGACCTCCCTCGTGGTAGGCTGTTATCTCGTTTGTTTCATCATCCATGATACGAGACTTTCTCTCCGGCCCTGTGCAGTTATAATTGATTAGGCCTATCATTAAACTAGAGTTTGATTAGGTCTCTAAGAAATTTTTTACATTATAAGTGGATGATTAAAGATTTTTTTAGAGATAGTGTTCGACTAGCTTCTTGGGAAAATTACTGTCCAGCTAATATGTAGACCATAAAAGGTCACAAAACATAACACTCAATATAGGACTTGTACAGTTATTAGGTTATGAAGAAGTAGGTTCTACACTCACACTGTAAGGGTAAATAATCCCAAGTAGGTCCTGGATTCTGATTTTTTCGAGCTAGGCCTAGTTCTTTCTATCCCTTTTCAAAAAACCAAATCCCAAAAGAAAATATTTAAAGGGAAAGAGATTAGTTTAGAACATGTAAAAACTAGTGATGGGTCGGTACCACTTTTTCAATGTCGGTTCCGGTACCGGTTCCTCGCCAAAATCGATTCTTGGTTCTCAGTTCCGGTACCATCGGTACCTCATTTCAAATTAGGCCACATAATTGTTTTATTTTAAAAACAAAATATCCCTCTTTACATTTTTGAAACTTATTATTTTTTATTAGTGTATGTTGGTTATATTCAGGGATTAAGAAAATAAAACTTAAACCTATTTGTACAAACAACACTTTGACAACCAAATCAACAATATTCGAATCAAAACAATATATACCATAGCCTACCAGAAGTGTTAAATACAGGGGCTATTTGTTGAAATGATTCACTGTTAAACCAATAAATTTAACATGGGCAAATCTTGGAAAGAAAATAGGTTCTGGAAATGTGTTAAGTTAACTGCCTGTTAAGTTCTAGCTAAATATTTAGAAGGAAGAAATGTTGAGTCATTTTGTACCTATAGCCAATAGCCTGCATGAAGTTAATTTTAGACTCCACTATTAAGGGAAATTTAGAACAAAAGTATCTATGGAAGGGACGTTTTAAACAAAACTTTTTAGAAAATAGGCCTAAGTACATATTCATATGAGGTTACAGATTAAGTTGCAGGCTTGTTTGAAAAAAGATTAAACAAAGGCTTAGTTTCGTGACTTTGATGTTTTTTTTTTTTTTTTTTTGTAGGCCAAGTGCCTGTACCGGTATTGTGGGGTTTCTGTTGTTCGCTTCATCAGTTTTAAAATACTTCCAAATAGTCAGGTTGGGTAGCAGGAAAATATTTCAGTTCTGGCAGACAGGCTGCAATTTTAGGTGGTTATAGTATACAAGTTTCTGAACCTAAAACCGCCCAGACCCCAATTTTGAAGGACCTCGGTCGTCCGTAATGACGTCATCAAGATGGCGGCCGTAAGAGGATGCTGGGTCCCCATGAATTGGCTATAACGACCGAATGCCTGAACCGATTTTCATGAAATTTGGCACACAAGTGCTTGAATACATTATGTCGGCCTGGGTTGAAAATGGTCAAGTTTCATCAAGTCATTTCAAAATGGCGGCCATTCAAAACTAAAAAAAAAAATAATAGGAAAATAATTGTGAATTGTTTCATACAGGGTGAGTTTTAAATGAGTTCCCCCCTACTTTTTTATACTTTTCTTGAGATATAAACTCCGAACCACGTCAGATAATTGTAGAGTAGCGATTACTTCATTTCGACTAGTTTTAATTGTATCCGTTTTTTGTTATCAAGCTTTTTTGATAAAATATAACAATTATTTTTATTTAAAATGTCAATATTTCAAAAACCAGACATGACAATGAAAAACTGATTGCGGCATTGAATTTAACATAAAAAAGTAGTTCAAAATAATGGGTCACAACACCACCTTCATGTTTAAAATAATTTATCACATTTCAAAATGGCGGATCCAAGATGGCTGCTGAAAAAAATACATCCGTCATAACCGAGTTAAAATAGGTCAACAATGAATGGTGGTGTCCACTTATCTTTATCTAGCACTATTTTGAGATTATGGCCTTAGTTTGTAAATGCACAATGTTATAATGGACCAAAAATAAAGTTATAAAAAGTTCTCATAACTTTAGAATGGATCAACATTTTTTTAAACGGATTGCAGCATCGTATTCAGCGTAAAGGTTTTGTTTGAAACGGTGGGTCACAACCCTATCTTTACATTTGAAAAAATAACTTTGTTTCCAAAATGGCGGATCCAAGATGGCGGCCAAAAATGTAAACCCGGTCAAAATGAAGTTCTTGCTACTCTACAATGATCTGACATGGTTCAAAGTTGATATTTTAAGAAATGTATAAAAAGTAGGGGGGGGGAACTCTTTTAAAACTCTCCCTGTATAAAACAATTCACAATTATTTTCCTCATATTTTTTTAGTTTTGAATGGCCGCCATTTTGAAATGACTTGATGAAACTTGACCATTTTCAACCCAGGCCGACATAATGTATTCAAGCACTTGTGTGCTAAATTTAATGAAAATTGGTTCAGGCATTCGGTCGTTATAGCCAATTCATGGGGACCTAGCATCCTCTTACGGCCGCCATTTTGATGACGTCATTACGGACGACCGAGGTCCTTAAAAATTGGGGTCTGGGCTGTTTTAGGTTCAGAAACTTGTATACTATAACCACCTAAAATTGCAGCCTGTCTGCCAGAACTGAAATATTCTGCCACTATATGCAGCTATACGACCCCACTAAAACTTGGGAAGCCATTATCAGGAATTTATCACAAATTAGTATATAAAAACAATAACTTAAGGTAGGTAGGACTACTTCTAGAATCTTGTAATGAACTAATCTACTTTCACTTATTAATCTTAACCTATCGTTATTTGTTGGTAAAATTAATTTAACCCTTCGTCGGCATCTTTGATTGTAAAACACAATCGGTGACAAACAGAGTTTTTTTCCCGGGTGTTGAAACTTTGAAACATTTGACAAACACTGTTTTTATTCATATAATAATACAAAAATGTATTTAAGCCATGCACAATTAATAGAATTGTGCATGAAATCAATAAAAACTCTTACTTTAAATATTTATATAAATATATAGCAAACAAAAACATCAACACCATCGGTGACTCACGGAGCCGGGCTCCATGCTACGTTACTCTTCGGGCTTCAACTAATTAATAAGGATTTTGGAGGGAGGTGTGAGATCAAAATTATGTTCAATTAGTTTCTAGAAAGATTCACGTAAGGTACTGTTACTCTTCAAGTTACCGGCTGGCGATAACACATATTTTTCTATAAAAACAAATGCGCCCGGAGGAAAACTTTGTGTAGTCACCAATAAAGGGTTGAGTTTTATAAGGGTTGAGGTTGTGTTTTATAAGTAAATTTTGTAGCTCTTGAATTACAATTTCTATTCAGTCTCAGTCTCAGTGCTTATGCTGGCAGAGTACATAGAGTACAGAGAACATAAGCCGGATAAGAATTTAACAGAAAACATCAGATTCAATAAGTACCGTATCATGAACTGATGCTTCATATATTTGCTTTGAATCGACACTATGGTTCATTGGACAAGGACGGTATTAGGCAGCATACTTTAGCCTCTTTGAATCTCACATGGGGTTAGGCCTCGTTGTGTGGGGCTGCTCCCTGCAAAACCAGCTGTGTGCGTTACTGACAATGTCAGGAAACTTCAAAATACTAACTGATGTTTGTTTGTACATTTATCTTGGTTTGATTTTTAAAAAGGTAAAGTTTGATCTTGTTAATGCGCCGGAAGCTGTCACACATATATCCACAATGTACCCAGAAATAGACTCCCCTGTATTTATAAACTCCTAACATTTTGTATAAAGTTGGCAAAAAACGGTACAGTACCCCATGGAAGTGTTTTAGAAGTCAATTTGTGTATTATTTTGATGGATAATCGTTATTACCATGTTAATGAATGTATGACTGCAACCTGTACTGCCGCTGGTTTTAAGCCTTTGAAATCAATTTTTTTCTTTTTTTGATAAGTATAGGTTGCCATTCAAGCAGACGAGAAAATGGCGGCAGCGACGTATACTCGCCATTCGACCGCAAAGGGTTAACATGTTATCTATTTATACGATAAATTAAGAACACAGCTCCAAATTGATACAATTGGTGATATGTCAATGTATTTATAAAAATATTTTGTGGCAAATAAAGAGTTTTGAGTTCTTAAAAAGCAATTCTTATCCTATTACAGTTTAAAAAACCTAAGTATAACTACTAGCACTATTGAATATTTGAGAAAACTATTTGATTCTGTTTCCCCGCCCTCACAAAGTGTTTGGCAGTTAACAGAAAATACCAACTACACCTTTTAAAACAAATGTCATTAGGATTGTCATATTATGAAACTAGCTGCATCTACTAGAACCATCAGATACAGGGGTTCAGTTCATTATATTCTAAGAAGTTATATACCCTCTTAGCAGCACAGATGTCACCAAAATGTAACCTGTGGTGCCAATATTTGACAATAAGTAAGAAACAGAACTACAAGGTTTTTACATATCACTATTTCTCAAGAACCAGCTATGTTTTCAATGAGAAATAGTGACAGCGAACAAAGCTATTTAAGCTACTAAACAGAGAGAATAAGTGCCACTACAACCAAATGACACTTTGAATGGTCCCTCGTATTGTTTAATTTCAATGTCATACATTCTTAATAAATAAACAGGCCTATATATGGATCCTAAGAAATCTTATAGCTCACACAATCGATCATGGAGGACACATGGTGGAACATGGAGGAGGATGGTATAATCCTAAAATGGTTTTTAAATATTTCAAGCTCGGGCTCAAAGAGTGAAAAGTTTTATAGGGCTCTCATTAGTATTACCAAATCTGTTGAATTGAACACAATTACTGACAGGTCTAAAAAGTATCCTGTCGATATTATTTTGTTTCTTCATTTCAAATCACAATCAATCTGTAAAAGTGCATTAAAAATGTATACTTTTACAGATTATAGAGCAATGAAGTATGTTATGGTACTAAAGAGTTCATTCTGATGTAAAATTTGTCAAAAAATTGGGAGATGTAGATTAAGTTACAAAAACGAGTTGGTAGTTGTACAACCAAAAACTAACTTCAATACAAAATAATAGCTGTGAAGAGTAAACAAAATCAATTAGTGAATATAACCACAAATGGCAATTTAATACCTTTATAAGCACAAAAATCTTTACTAAATAGCAATTTACTTGAGTTTCCGTGAAATGCCATTACAATCTAACATTCTTACAATTACATATGGTTGTTTGACTCGATTCAATACTCTAGTGCTTGGATAAAAAGCTAATGATTGTTTGGAGTCAAAAGTTCTTCAACTACAGCATTAATCATGTAAAATAGGTGAAAAAATGAAACTGTTTAAAAGAGCTAAAGTATTTCTTGGTTTTTCTTTTAACTTTTCACCAGTGCACCGATACTTGATGCTAATTCATTATCTGTTCAAACGGTTCTAAAAAAATTCCCCAGATGGCAGCAGATGTCAAACATCAACCCTAGTGGCGAAATAAACAGCTACGTCCGTCCAAATACAAGCACATTGCGTTGTCATATCGACGGCAGGCCTGGCTCGACATTAGAGTTCGTGTGGCCATGACGCACGGCGTGGCTCCCCGCCACTTGAGCGCAAAAGGGTTAAATTGAATTAGTTTAACGAGAACTTAGGTTTGCTGCAACAGGGAGGTTAAAAAAGGGTTTTTTGTCGTAAAATGTTAGTAGTTATGTAAGAAATGGATGTATTTTCTAAATTTGATCAAAATATGTTCATAAACAAGCAAACTAGCCTACAACAGTTGACTTATTCTCCATGAGAACAATATGGGAATTTTAAATTTACAATTTTTGGAATTTTCTCCGTAACCATTAGATGCATAATAAACGCTTCAATATATAAGCTCTACAAAGTAGTTTGGAAAGAAATTGTGGAATTTTGTGTTTTAAGGTTAAAAATGGGAAAACATGTTTTTACCCCATAAAAGCCCCCATAAACCCCCGCTCCGTTCCCATAGTCCGATCATGCTGGTCCACAAACTCGTTCCAATAAATTTACGTTTACATGTTTGTACTAAATTTCATCAAAATCGGATCATTTTTCCTCGAGTTATCGTGCTAACGGACACACATATATGTATGAATTTGAACGGATGGTGTTTTTGGCCTCTAGGGACCTCAAAACGAAAAAGTAAGGCCCCGGGTCCAGGTCTTACCATGAGTACTAAGGTAATAGCTTATTCCCTACATGGGAAATTCGCTAAAAAACAGGAAATTTTGGAAAATGTTAGAGCTTAAGATTGAATAAACTCAAATGGCAACATAGGTTTTGTAATACATCATTAATAAGGTCTTTAAAAAACAAACATTTTCTACACTTAGGCTACACTTTCTACTCAAACATTAGTACACCTCTGCCACTCTTATCTGTCATATGTTTTGTTACCGTGTATCCAGATAATTTTTACGATGGTTGCCTTTGTTATTTAAATAGGCCTATTGAACTAAGACTAAGTGTCATAATATTTGCCAACATATCTGAATATGAAATTTCCGGGAAATTCACGCTGCCATAAAATTCTCGTATGATTCCCAGGATTCCCACTGTGTGAAAACCCTGTACAATAGTCAGTAGTAATCACTAAATGCGACTTAAGATGATATTCAATATCACAAAGCTTAGACTCACCCATAATGACTTTATCCCTGGCTACTTCGAGGTATTTCATTGTTACAAAGTCAGCCCCATCAATGGCTGCGCGCAAGGCTGCTTGATTGATCATGTTCTCAAGGTCAGCTCCGGTAAAGCCGGTTGTTCCACGAGCTAGGATGTCGACATCTACGTTCTTGGAGCGAATGCGACCCAGGTACATGGTGAGAATCTCCTTGCGGCCCGAGTAATCAGGTGCCGGGACCTGTCAACATATGAGAAGGTTTTAAAGCAATCAAAACTGACTTAATTTAATACAAGTGGGTGAATAGCTCAAAAATAGAATGGGTTAGTGATTTTTCTACATTTTTTGTTGGATTTCAAAAGTGTCCAAATATAGCTGGCTGGGTATCTGAGTTGTCATAGTGCTCGTGTGATATTCAATCCTGAGAAAAGTCAGTTTTTAGCCTCGGTAGTTCTTGGCTTTTAATGCATATTTTGCTAACCAAACAGCTGACCTAAGTCTTTTAGGGTTACAAGGCTACACAGGTCATAGCACTCACAGGCCATTCATCACACACATTCAACCTAGAATATTTATTCTTATGGAAATAATAAAATTTTTAACGGTTGTAATTTACTTATTTATGGATATATTTTGATCGAACTTGTTCAATTTTGTTTATACTAAGCTATTAATATGTTACTAAAAACACACTTTATTGGCCTCCCTGAAGTAGCAAACCTCGGTACTCATTAAACCTAATGTTTTTGAAATAGATATATACCAAAAGTGACAAAAAAATATAAATAAAATAGCAGTCCAAGAGGCTAGCATCTCAATACAAATCATGTCATTTTCGGCTTGAAATGGGATGCTAACCTCTCGGACACCAGCCTCCTAGTATAATCGTAGCCTAAGTGTGTACTACTTTAATTAATGGTTTTTATTTTAGTGATGCCAATATGTATTTTGAGTTGTTCTCCACTCTAATTTTTTAGTCTTGTGGCAGATTTAGTGGAATATAGGCTCAGCTGCTCATTGATAGATACTTTAACAGTAAAAAAACATTAGATAACATCAATTATAAAATAGAGCAATTGTTTAAAACTCTTTCTACTCGTATGTCGCTGCTACCGCGACATTCACATCTGATTGCTTCACTCGTATGTTGCAGCCACCACGACATTTTCCGCATCGGCTTTTTAATAATAAATCCCTTTTATTGAGCGGAGCGAGCGAAGCGAGCGAAGCTCTTATACGTCGACTTTTATGCATTTCGTAATACGCAAACTCCTCCTTGACGGCTGAATCAATCGTTTTCAAATTTTGCATGGTGATAAAGACCATACCGGTGAGTGCCAACATCTATATGGCGTTAAAAAAGTCTCTCAGGAATCCGCCCCACTGGGTCTCAAAGTTTCAATGTAATCCTTATGGAAGCAGTATTTGACACATAAACAAAGACATATGATCAGCTGTTGACTTTTGAATGCAGTAGATAAATAAATAGCTGATAGCATTATGCCACAGATATTAGAACATAAACGGTCGTATGGATCATAAATATATAATCAAATGACGACACTAGCTTGAGGTCCGTGACGTAGGAAGTGGTGAAGGAAGTAGTAAAGGTGAGCAGTCTGGAGTGTGGAAACTGTTTAAGACGATTAGATTTAGGTAGGTATCTGCATTCCTAACATTTTATGGGAAGGGAGGAAAACGGGTCCGTGACGTAGGAAGTGGTGAAGGAAGTAGATTTAGGTAGGTATCTGCATTCCTAAAATTCTATGGGAAGGGAGGAAAACGGGTCCGTGACGTAGGAAGTGGTGAAGGAAGTAGTCAAGGCGAGCTGTCCGGAGTGTGGGAACTGTTTATGACGATTAGATTAAGGTATCTGCATTCCTAAAATTCTATGGGAAGGGAGGGAAACAGGTCCGCGACGTAGTAAGTGGTGAAGGAAGTAGTCAAGGCGAGCTGTGCGGAGTGTGGGAACTGTTTATGACGGTTAGATTAAGGTATCTGCATTCCTAAAATTCTATGGGAAGGGAGGGAAACAGGTCCGCGACGTAGGAAGTGGTGAAGGAAGTAGTCAAGGCGAGCTGTCCGGATTGTGGAAACTGTTTATGACAATTAGATTAAGGTATCTGCAATCCTAAAATGCTATTGGAAGGGAAGGAAACAGGTCCGCGACGTAGGAAGTGGTGAAGGAAGTATTAAGGGCGAGCTGTTTGGGGTATGGGATCTGTTTATGACCATTAGATTAAGGTATTTGCAATCCTAAAATGCTATGGGAAGGGAGGAAAACATGTCCGCGACGTAAGAGGTGGTGAAGGAAATAGTAAACGTGAGCTGTCCGGGGTTGGAAACTGTTTATGACTATTAGATTAAGGTATCTACAATCTTAAAATGCTATGGAAAGGGAGGAAAACAGGTCCGCGATGTACGAGGTGGTGAAGGAAGTAGTCAAGGCGAGCTGTCCGGAGTGTGGAAACTGTTTATGATGATTAGATTAAGGTATCTGCAATCCTTAAATCCTATGGAAAGGGAGGGAATCAGGTCCGTGACGTGGGAAGTGGTGAAGGAAGTAGTAAAGGCGAGTTGTCCGGAGTGTGGGATCTTTTTATGACCAATAGATTAAGGTATTTGCAATCCAATAATGCTAAGGGAAGGGAGGTAAACAGGTCCATGACGTAGGAAGTGATGAAGGAAGCAGTAAACGCGAGTTTTTCGGAGTGTGGTAACTGTTTATGACGATTAGATTTAAGGTATCTGCATTCCTAAAATGCTATGGAAAGGGAGTGAAACAGGTCCGTGACGTAGGAAGTGGTGAAGGAAGTAGTAAAGGCGAGTTGTCCGGAGTGTGGGATCTGTTTATGACCAATAGATTAAGGTATTTGCAATCCAATAATGCTAAGGGAAGGGAGGTAAACAGGTCCGTGACGTAGGAAGAGATGAAGGAAGTAGTAAAGGCGAGTTTTTCGGAGTGTGGGAACTGTTTATGACGATTAGATTAAGGTATCTTGGTATCTACAATCTTAAAATTCTATGGGAAGAGAGGGAAACAGGTCTGCGACGTAAGAAGAGGTGAAGGAGCAAGGTAAGGTGAAGGGTAGGTAAGGTGAGCAGTGTGGAGTTAGGGAACTGGAAACCGTTTGTAGCAGTTAGATTAATGTACAATACTGAAATGCTATTAGAAGGGATGGAATTATGCCCACGACATAGAAAATGGTGAAAGAAGTAGTAAAGGCTAGCAGTGCGGAGTGTGGGCAATGTTTGTGGCAATTAGGTTAATGTTTCTAAAATACTAAAATGCCATGGAAAGTGATGAAAACAGGTCCACGATGTAGGAAGTGGCTTAGGAAGTAATAAAGTATGAACATATTGTGAGAACCGTCTGTGGCAGTTAGAATAATGTATCTTCAATCCTAAAATGCTATGAGAAGGGAAGGAAACAGGCCCCACGACGTAGGATGTGGTGAAGGAAGTATTAAAGGCTGGCAGTGCAGATTGAGTGAACCGTTTGGGCAGTAATGTATCTAATACTTAAAATGCTATGATAAGGGAGGGAAACAGGTCCACGAAGTAGGGTGTGGTGAAGGAAGTAGTAAAGGTGGGCAGTGTTGAGTGTGGGAATGGATAAATGTATCTGCAATGCTAGAATGCTATGGGAAGAGACTGGTTAAAATGATTATGAAGCACGAATCGTTACATATTTCGATACGTATTAAATCGTTTACAATATAAATTTACAACTGAGTTGACAAAAGCTGAGTTTTACTCCATAGAGGCTAAAAACGAATTTTATTCCTTAAAGAGTAAAAAAGCTACTTTAGACCGGCAACGCATGCATCAATGACGACTGTTTTTACTGCAGTATGACAAAAACAATATAATATGAACCCTTGATGACTCCGCTCAATTTTGTGGATGCATCAGCGAACGCCCCCTAGTATAGTGTTTGCATGTTTTGACATACTAAATGATTTCCTCATTCATTTTACATGTTTTTGGTAGCAAAAAATATATTTATGAGTTATTTAGTCAGCTGTGAAGTATAAAGAAGTGACAATAGTAACCACGACAACCAAAATAAAAAAATCAAACATTTTGAAAATGCATTTTTTCTGTAAAAATATATACCTAACCCTTCTTGTATTGGCTGATTTGAATTGCCAACTAAATAAGTAATGTTGATAAAGTTTTTTACAAATCCTGAAAATGTGTTTACTTTTTTTATAAGCCCCCCAAAAAAAATATAGCCTAGTATAGTTTATTCTGCATTTTTCAAATTATGACCATACAAAAAAATATTTTATGGTTATATTTATTTTGATATTATGTTTTACTTGTGTACAATTTTATGCTCAATAAGAATAAAGCTCTCAAGTACAACAAATAATTTATTTTAGTCAGTATATGTACACAAAATCCAAAACAAGTTTTTTTGCATGAAATTAAATACAAGCGTATGGAACAACAAGGGGACAACTATTCCGAGTGGAAAGGGTTACACAACTCCAATTACATTGTCCTTGTCAGTCAAGTTTTGATACTGACCAAATTATAATATTTTGAAATTGACTTACATTAACTTCAACATCAAATCTTCCCGGTCTGAGCAAAGCTTTGTCCAAATCTTCACGACGATTTGTAGCTCCCAGAACAATTACTCCCTCATTCTGGTGAAACCTACAACAATACATTTGAAAATTGGTTCAACATTTGTAAAAATCTCCATTTCATTTTTGAGCTGTCTTGAATGACTCTTAACACATAGATCAAAGGTTATTTCATTATTTCACCTTGATTCTGTTGCCTTCTTCAGATCCTGGACAAGAATAACAAGCGTTGCTCATATTGAGGTCGTCAAAACATTAAATACATAACAAAAATTAGACACAAGTTAAACATTAAATTTGTGACAACAGCAGGCCACAGGTACACACTGGGTTGACTTGTCCAGATTGCAGATTGGTTGGAAGGAGCATTGACGTTATTGCTTGTAACGGGCTGAAATAATGGTACAATTTTGTTTATATTGAATATCAACAATAGACAAAATATAGACAAGCAACATTAAAACAACAAAACTGTGTTTGTGTGTGGCAGTTAGTCTTGTGTGATGAAGTATTGAGGCAACTACGATTTGAATTTTCCGCTTCCTTGACATGCGCACGCACATCTTGCATGCTCCCGATTCGCCTGCGCTTGTCTATCGTGCATGCGCACGACTGTCTTTCAAACTCAGAGAGTCTGAGGCGACCTTAGGACAGTCAATTCCATACCCGATACCAACCGGACTAGTCAATCTTCAAATAAGGTAGGAGAACATCTCCAATTCTGTTTCTAGTACTTGTTTGACATTTATTTCATGTACTTATAATTGGTTGATTAACATAATGTCGATTGCTTTGGATTACGTTTTGGAAATAATTTGGAAATTATAATCCTGTGGCATCTTGCTTAGTTTGAGCTTGAATCGCACATTTCTAGTATTATTAGTTGAAAAAGTTGACATATAAACTATCATTGCATTGTGACTTGCTTGATTTATAAATGGCAGATTATTTGCACCACTAATTCTAAGATTTGCTTTGCCCATTTTGATCATACAATCACACTTTATCCAGCTTGCTTGTGCATTGTGATGCTTGTATGTATTTTAATCAGTATTTACATAGCCTCATTTTACCTGCTTTATTCCATTGTTTAAACCTATCTAACCATCCTAAGACCATTTCCATACATCCTGGGAGCTGTGATAGCCTAAAGTAGGTAGAGTATAAGTGTGCTATTATTAATAAGCAGATTATTGTACCATTATTGATTCCCTTGTTTGAACCGTTGAACCCTATGTTATAGGTACTAAACCCAAACCTTTACTCCCTTGAGATATCATATTACCACAAGCCATTTTTACCATTAATCCTTGGCTTTTACACCTTGATTCCTTGGATTAATACCTTGATTTCCTTGCAATATAAAATTACCATAAACTGTCCTTACCATTAATCCTTGGTTACCACTTGATTCATTGGATTGGTACCGCTATTTCCTTGAGATATACATCCTTCTTCCCTACCGAGCCAGAATGACCACTATTAAAACAGTGTCAAAAGTTTCCTACCCCAGTTGTTAGACCGAGTGTAAATGATTCCACACAAGCTTGACTATAAAACACTAGAATTTACAGCCTTAACCTGGCAGAGGTCGCACTTAATTGAAAACGCGAGGAGACACAGACAGTCTTTTTGACCGGGTACAATTTTCAGTAAGCATTAAATTTTAATTAATCTAAATCGTAAAAATGGTATAAAACATTTTATTTACAACCTTCTGAATATGCTTTAGATGATAAAACATAAAATAGACAGTTGTAATACAATCGTACACCTTGCATTGTTTGTTTTGTGTAAACTGTTTCATATTAATGACTCAAAAGTTTTTCATGTATCTATAAATGACAAATAAATATGAAGCAAACATATTGCATACTATAAAGTAAATAGTTCACTAAACAAGTTCAGTTATAAATAATTATAAGTCATCACTGTCTTGTAAGGATAAAATTCCTTTTAAGATTTTAAGATTTGTCTTAATGATAAATATTTTTGTATTTCTCATCAATAATTCATTGAAATGTGCCTTAGAAAATCTCCTACAAGCCTCATTAAACATTCAACATCCTCATCTCCAGTGTTGGGGAAGCTACTTTTAAAATGTAGCTAGCTACAACTACTGCTACATTTCCAAAAAAGTAGTTTAGCTACAGCTACAGCTACAGTTCCGAAAAAGTAGCTAGCTACAACTACAGCTACAATGAAATGTAGCTACAGCTACAATTTTAGCTACTTTTCCAAAGCCGTTACTTTTTATTCCACGCACATTAGGTAAATGTAAAATTAATTGCAACTACATTTTTATTGAACAAACATTTAAACAAAAAATGTCAGTATTGTATCATTGACTATAGGCCTATATACCTACAGGTATATATAGTCAATGATTTAATTTGTTGGCTTTATATACCTAACATTAAAACAACAGAACCAAATAGTTGGGTTTCCCATCATATTTAGTACTTATTTTCAAATATTGCATTATTTTTAAGCATCTTATATGTAAATTTCATTAAGTTCAAAGGACATAGGCCTACAACCAAACTATATTTTAAAAGCTCATTTTATTTCTTTAATATAGATTCATTTATAGATGTCTTGTATAAACAATTAAGACCAATAAAACTGTAAAACGATTATTTAAAAATACTTGTTGGTGTTACAGAGCCTAAGTTAGCCTACTGAAATTGGAGTTTATTGCCTTTCTTTACTTTTAATGTTAAAAACGACATTGTTATAACTTTTAACCATAGTGATAAGTTACTTGTTCTATGAATAACACTTTTCAATGTCAAGAAATCGTCCTTTATTGTCATTATGCATAGGGCAAATTGAAAATTGTGCTTCAACCTAGTTGGTACAGAAAACAGTATTCAGCAACTTATCCTGATATCGGCTTTTAATTTAAACATGTGGAAATTTGTAAAGTATAAATAACATATAGGCCTACTTGGCTATGTAACAAGTTGGCTATAGTAGGCTTGTTCTTGCAAGGACTAAACAGATATATTCCTAATCATTGAACTTGGAACTTGGTATTCGTCTTAAACCATAGCGCCTAGGAATAGTCCTATACAAGAGCTGTTAGCAGGAGCAAACTATGCTATTTTTTCAATGTAAGTTTCATGTTATATGGAGATTTTTTCGTTACAATTATCATTTAGTCTAGGCATATCTTAAATCACATCAGGTAATTTCTTCATTGTTAATTTAGTAAACCTTTGAAAAATCTTCGTAATCTAACCAAGGAAGGGCTTGTGATGATGAACCACAATCAACAGCTGAAGCGATTGTTGATAGACCAGCTTTCTCATTATTTTAAGGTTTAGGGTTGGTTTCCATTAAAACCCAAGTTGAAACACTATTGATATAATAAAGAAACTAAAAAATGATTACTAATTTCCCTGTCAATCACTTGCAAGCATTCAATAGCTTCTCTTGTCACCGCCCACCGGTAACGTTTAAAAGTCGTCTGCATCTAGCGCCCTAAGTGTTATTTAATCTGACAGTAATCATAGAGTAGTAAATTAAGGAAATGAGAGCCAAAAATGTGGATAACACTCATTTAATGGCCTCCATGTCCACACAACGTTGTATAGGGAATGAAACGGCTGCAACCAGCTGTATGAAGCCAAGAAAGTAGGCCTAATTTTTTTGAAAATCTCAGTTTGAAAGGTTTCACGTAAGGTTGAGGTTATGATAAAAATCACTATCTCAAACAATGTTAATGTAGCGAGAAAAGTAGCTAAAATTCCGCTACAACTACTTCAAAAATGTAGCTAGCTACAGCTAAAGCTACAAAATATTAAAAGTAGCGTAGCTACAGCTAACGCTACAAAAAAAGTAGCGCGCTACTGTAGCGTCGCTACTTGTAGCACGCTACTTCCCAACACTGCTCATCTCTATCAACACGACGATGGACTATCCCTCATCTCTATCAACATGATGATGGACTATCAGTCTTATACTTTACTTGTTAGATTCTACGTCTAGCCACTGAGAGGTACATAAATACTTCTCCATGGCTCAACACATAATTTAATGGTAATACTAATGAATTGAAACAGTAACCAATCAAAAATTAAAAGGAAAATAACCATCAATTTACAATTGATCTTTCAAAAAAAAATTTAAAAACCATTGGCAGCAAATTTGAAAAAGAATTTAAAAAATATCTAATAGAAATTGCTCTGCACTCCATTAGAGGTATTTCCTTATTTAACTTGATTTTATTAGTTTTTTTTTTATTGTATACATTGTAATTTGGAAAGTATTAGCCTATAACTGTATTTACTGGGAGCCTACCAGTATATTGACAATTAACTTCGTCATCGGGCCACCAGACAGTCTTTTTAAATTAAATATATAAATACGAAAAACCTCTTCGTCAACAAGTTATTTCATCGTCAATCCCGTTGACCAGCCTGTAAAATTAAATTATTAAATACGAGAATCCCCTTCGTCAACAATTGACTAGACCGCCAGCCCACTTCGTCGTCCTTTAGGTGGGGATTGGAGGGCGGTGCTAACCATACCATACCATACTATTTATTGTCGAAGGAGCAAAGACACCCCGACGGCTACCCGGTACCTATCCAGAAACCCGGGTCCCATGGTGCCGGCCGGAACTTACGCACCAACCTTGTACGCACCATGGGTGGATGACTTAAGGCCATCATGCTCACCGGCTGCCGAAGCAACCCTTCGGAAAGAGGGTTGCCCCTCAATCCTAACCAGGGATACCGGTTACTTGGTCGCACGTACACTCCAAATAGGTTCCACCAGGGCCGAAACCCTGAAGGACCATAGAGGAATGCCCTGAACGCAACACGGGCTGGCTCACTCCTTTGATGTTAGCGGTTGCCGCCTGATCCTACTTCCCCTCCCCCGCCACTCCTCAGTGACGTAACGGAGATACATCGGCGTGAGGCGCGACGGTAGCCTAGCACGGCAGTGCATGTCGCCCGGCATCTACGCGCATATTAATAATTGTGTTTATAATAATGTAGTTTTATAGTGTGATTTTAAAGTGGGTTTCGTTAACCCTCCAACTTGCAATGGGCGAACTATGTAGTGGCAAAGCATTTTTGGCGATTTTGCAGTCAAAAATTCATATAAACTAAACCAACAGATCAAACCTATGAACCTTATTTATTATTTCCAACTTGAAGTGTTCGTGATGAAATGAAGAATTTGAAAATGGCAACAGCATAAATATTAAAAATATTGTAGGGAATATTGTCAGTAGGTAGAAAAATTGCTGCATGAACCAAAAATGTTTCATAAGATATACAAATTGTTAGGAGTTTATTTCCCTACATGGAAATGTAAAAAGATTCCAATTGCCACTTAAACAAAGTTATGGCCCAAAAACAATGAAATGACAAGTTTCACGATGTTGCACTACAAATTTCACAAAAACCAAATTAATGTATTATCAAGAGATAAAGTAAAAGTTAACATTTTTAGGCAATAATATTGGAGAAAAAATGAAGTAAGAGTTGTATATGTAAAATGATCATTTCAATAAATGTTCATCACTTTTAATAAATGTTGATATTTGTCTAGAAAAACATTTTGTTATTCACACGTATATATTATTTTTAAAATCCCGCAAACCAACTATATAAAATGAAAGTAAACTTATTCCCCTACATGAATATACATAGTTATAAAGGCAAATATGCAAAAATAAATATTTTATAGTTTTTTCTATAAAATGCTGCTGTGCCTTTTTCATTTGGCGATTAAATCGTTTCTTAATTATGACGAAATGTTTCAAAAACGGGCTAAAAGTAATGTCCCAGACCTCAAATTAAGTAAGTCTTTCCACATAAAACAGTTTATAAACTAAATAAGTACAATTTTTACAACTAATAAATACGATTGAAATAATAAAGTCAAACCCGCGATATTCGTTGTTGGTAAACAGTCGATGAAGTTCACAAAAACTGGCTAAAAAATAATGTCTTAAGTTTATAAAAGTAATGTCACATTACAGTCGAGGCACAATAAATAATATCGCAGCCAAACATTTACAACGTATAATCACGATGTAAACTGATAAAGTAAAATCACACCAAAACTCGACTTGTTAGTTATTGGTCAACAGAGAATGAGGTTAGTTAGTCAGGCAACTTAATGTCTTTTTGCAACTATATGTTATTTTAATTTATTGAAAAATGTAGGGCCTATGATAAAATGTAATTGATTAATTGAAATTATTTTCCTTCCTGTAAAAGTTACAAATACTAAGTATAGGTAATGTATTTTTATACAACCTCAATGTATTTTATATAACCTCAATGAATCCTAAAAGGTATGAATAAGTAATAAATAAATACAATTAATAATCCATACATTAAGATACATTCGAGCAATTCGAACACAGATCAATAACTACAGTAATCTTAGGCATCGCTTTACATTCCACACCCATCCTTAAATATCTACTTAAGTTAATTTTTTACTTATTTAAATTGATGTTATACGTAAATCCTATTTGAAAATCAATTACTTTTATAAAATACATTAATACCTAATAATAAATGTCCAACATAGAGCTTAATAAACGCTAAATGTGCGGTAATACCAACGCTCACACAGGCAAAGATATAAGGTGCCGGGAGCCCGAGGTATCGCCGTGACGTCACAGCGGCGGAGTGGTGGGGAGCCACCTGGCATCACTTTCTGAGCTCGCGTGGCCTAGCCCTTGTATATCTCTAGCCCTGCAGTGCAAGCAACACTCGGGAACTATCTAATCCCTGACAGGCCAGAGCCCACCATCAAAGCCAGGAGGAAGGGGACCGACAGCAAGCTGACGGGGGAACCCACCTATTTACACCACAACCCGATCGAGGCCTACCCATTACTGGGAAACCAGAGATAACCAGGGCGATAGATCCCCAGATACCCCCAGCGGGCTTGATCCCAGCGCCCAATCTACTTCATTTGCCCATCTAGCTCAACATCACTGCCAGGCCATCAGGGTTTCCCAAAAGGAGGCAGGTATAGAAGTGGGACCCACCCAGATGAACCTATCCACCAAAGGTGGTGACACCCTTAACTCTCTGGGTGCTAACAGGGATAACCCAGGAGGGAAGCTTATCTAGTTGTTGAACCACGTCACTCCAAGCTAGAATCCAGTATTGCCAACTGAAAATACTAGCGCCATTGAAAACTAGATACAGGGCGGGTTTATTCAGTCTGTGGTGCGAAGACCTGTGTATTGGATTTTTCGCACTTAAATGCAACGGACAAGTAGGAAGCAGTCAGGAGGAGGCGTCTTGGACGCAGTACATCGGAACTTCCCATCCATTGATATCCATCCTTCAATTACCAACGTGGAACATGTATTTGTAAACGTTCAGCTTCCTGGACTAACGGTCCTGATTAGTGCTGCCTATATTCCCCAATATTTTGCATCCGAAGTATACTCCTCATTCTGTGATGCGACTGAAGAAGTGTGCACTTCTCTTCGTCCAGGAGCCCTTAAACGATCGTCGCTGGTGATTTTAACCAGCCCGTTGTAGATTGGAAAAATGGCTCCAAATTCTGTGCGCCCCTGGGTAGTCGACATTTGCTGGACTTGAGGGACTACTTGCAGCTTGAACAAATCAACGGAATAAAAATTCAAAGGGTGTTTTGCTTGACCTTGTGTTTTCGTTAAATCCTGCATTGAACGTGTATGCTTCTGACCATCCTTTAATTGTTCCTGATGATAACCATCCTGCTTTGACAATGGAAATTTGTACCCACCAAGTTAGTAATGTACAACCTCCAACTTTCGAGCCTGATTATCGTAAGTGCAACCTCCAAGAAGTGTATAAGTGGGTTCAAAAACAACCTTACCCTGCTACAGTTTCTATTGACTGCATTGAAGAATTGTTTATTGATTTTTAAAGGCAATTGAGCAACAACTTAAAGGAAACTATTTTCCTGAATTGTCCATTAAGACCCGTGCAACGGACATCCTTCCCTCCATGGTTTACTAGGGAGTTAAGATGTCTTGTATCCAAAAAGAAACAAGTACATGCGAAATTCAAGAAGTTTCATAATCTTGCTGATCTGGATAAACTCAGAGAAATTCGGAGCCAGTGAAAAAGGCTAGCAAGAGTGTGCCACTCTAACTACATCAACAAAATCGGCGAGAGTCTTGACAGTGATCCCAACGTCTTTTGGAGCTATATTCGAAATCTACGAAAATCGCCTTCAACGCAGGAAATTCTTCATCTAGATGACAGAGTCGCAACTAATCCACTTGGTATGTGTGAAATGTCCGCTGAGTTTTTTTCTTCGATATACAGACCACCAGTGAATGAAGCCCCGAACTATTCATACAATATGGACATAAAGTTGGCAAGCATAACTGTTTCAACATTTACAATCGAGAAAAAACTTAAGGATCTTGATCCTAAATAGGGGGCCGGACCAGATGCGATACCAGCCAGTCTGCTCAAATTTTGTGCTGAACCCTTGGCTCCAATAATAACTCTCTATTTCAACAAATTGTTGCAAGCGGGAATATTTCCTCAAAATATGAAAGAGGGATTCATTGTACCAATTCAAAAGAAAAGTGATTTGACCGATCGTTATTCAGCCAGCTCTAGCAAAGGTTTTTGAGAGCTTGGTCCTCGATAGAATGTCCTTTGCATTTAAGAACAGAGAACACTATAATCAATGAACAGCATAGCATGGCTTCAGGTCAGGAAGATCAACAACTAAAAACCTAACCGTATTTACTGGCCGTATCCTATCCGCATTTTCCAATGGAAATCAACTGGATTGTATCTACCTGGACTTCAACAAGGCATTTGATATAATTAGCCACCCCCACCTGTTGAACAAGTTGAAGGCTTTTGGAATCAATGGATCGATGGAGCTACTTGACACATCGCACTCTCCGAGTTCAACATGCTCTAGCCCTCTCTAGACCTATACATGCAACTTAAGGTGTTCCGCAAGGCTCTCATCTTGGACCATTTTTGTTTAGTCTATTTATTAATGATATAGCTGAGTTCATCAAAGGACATTTTCTTCTGCTTGCCAATGATGACAAGCTGTATAGAGAAGTTGGATCGGTGGAACAAGTTGAGCTGCAGAATGACATGGATGGAGTAATTGAGTGGTGTCTTCGAAATGGAATGGACTTGAACCCGGCCAAGTGTCAAGTTACGTCATTCTCTAAGAGCTAGACAGACCCTTCAATTTAATTACTGTCTACAAGGAGTAATTATCAGGAGAGCCGATCGAGTTAGTGATCTTGGGGTGCTCATGACACCAGATCAAAACCCTAGTGACCACATCTTGAACGTTTGTACAATTATTGAATACAAATATTTTAATGAAGCTCTTCTTTTTCTCAAAGCACCCTTGAACCTGAGCGCACAATTTAAGTATTTTGGAGTGCCGTGGTTTTGTCAGGGAATTATTGATTTTCTCACTAGATTTAAGATAAGTCATTTGAAACATGTAGGGTTATTATACTATTAAGTGACTTACCCATCCATTTCTGACAGAAGCTGGTTGATGGTTTGGTTTGCGTACGGGTGAAGAACAGCATTCGTTCTTTTTGCTCCAACTGAGTCGATTTCATCAATAAATATCACGCAGGGAGCCCTCTCCTTCGCCGCTTCTGAAATGTTTAACATATTTCACAATGCATAGATGTATTTAAATCGGTGATTAATGAAGAAGAAAATTACCCCCTCATTGTACTTTATCGTATAAAAGCTAAGATGAAAATAATGTAAATTGTAAACGATTCTAAAATTAATCAAGTAAAATAAAATTGTTTAGGATTTTTGAATTTTCAAAGTTTTAACATGGTTTCAAAACAAGCACCATCATAGCCTGAGTTGTAGGTAAAGTTATGGTTTGTTTACAATATGTTCTTAAACGAAAACATTAGTGTTCTGTCTTCCTCGTGGCAGAACACTTATTTATCCATTGTGCCAATGTTATTTACAATGGATTTAGATCTGATTGTACATTTCTTTTTTTATAAACCTGTGGATTATGAGGGGCTACAATAATGATGGTTAATTTTGAAAATGTTGTCCTTAGGGGTTGGGGGTTGCTCAACAATTTCAAATGGTAAGTATATTCTTTGGTATCATTTTATAGGTCTTTATGGAACTAATTAATTGATTAGAATACATTGTTGTAGCCCCAAAACTGTTAGACTAAAATAAGGTGAAGGTTATTACCTCGTCTGTAGTTCCAAAATTGTAGTTTGTACTTTGTATTTACATGTATCGGCAGAACGCCATTGTCAATCTATCGTAGTACAGGAACATCAAGCTATTAAGCTACAATAAGTGGATTTTTATGTTCCTGTACTAAGATAGTTTGACATGACATTCTGCCAAAACATGTAGCCTAACTACAAAGTACAAACTACAATTTTGGAACTGCAGATTGTAATAACCTTAATTATATTTTAGTAATTAATTGACATCAAGAAAACAAAAATCGGACAGCTAACAACAAAATGGCACCCTAAAACAAATCAAATCCAATTAACCGTGAGGTTGACTAAAAAGTAACTTGCACCCCCTATAAACTTTTTAACTATTTATTTGAGATAATGAAATCACTTTGGGGCAATCTCCTTGGATATGAGAAGCTACAGTAATGACGGATAATTTTGAAAATTTTGGCCTTAGGGGTAGTGGGGGTACATTTGATAATCTATCAAAAACAGATACTCACTGAACAGGTCTCGGACTCTTCTAGCACCCTGTCCCACAAGGATTTCATCAAATTCTGGTCCTGCAGCATGGAAAAATGGTACTCCTGCTTCCCCAGCAACGGCCCTTGCCAACAATGTTTTTCCTGTGCCTGGAGGTCCCACCAGCAGAACACCTGCCATAAATAAATAATAAATTTTGATAACCAATTGGCAAAGTTCATTTTCTTTCATCTAAATTTTTTTTAATTACTATGACAAGACTAGGGATGGACGGGTCCCGAAATTTCGGGAAATTTTCGGGAAAAAAAATATTCCTGATTATCGGGACGGGATTACATTTGATTCGGGAATTTTTCGGGACGGGATTTGATCCGATCGTCAGCGATTTTGCCGCTTTGTGAGTGACGATGACGCCGCTATCGCAAGAGATGTTCACGATAGTTACGCGAACGCAGGAGGCGAAGTGATTTCGACGATCGCGCCATGACCGCGAGTCGTTTTCGACGATCGTGCCGTGACCGCAGAGTCATAACGACCATCCAGCCGAGACCGCACGTCTTACAGACGATCGCGCCGTGACCGCGAGTCATACCGACGATCTTGTCGTGACAGCAAAGTGATAACGACGATCGTGCCGTGACCGCGGAGTCATACCGATGATCACGCTGTGACCGTGAGTCATACCGACGATCACGCAGTGACCATGGAGTCATAACAACGATCAAGCCTTGAATGCGGAGTCATACCGACGATCACCCCGTGACCGTGAAGTCATACCGACGATCGCCCCGTGACCGTGGAGTCATACCGACGATCATGCCGTGACCGCAAGTCATACTGCAATTACCCTGTGACCTGAACCCGGGACTGATTTACTTTTTTGTTTTGAGGTCTCTAGAGGCCAAAAACACCATCCGTTCAAATTTATACATATATATATATATATATATATGTGTGTGTGTGTGTGTGTGTGTGTGTCCGTTAGCACGATAACTCGTACAAAAATCATCCAATTTTGATGAAATTTGGTATAAGCGTGTATACCTACATTTATTCTAATGAGTTCGCGAACCAGCATGATCGGACTATGGGAACGGGGGTTTATGAGGGGTTTTAAGAGGTAAAAATTGGTTTTTCCCATTTTTGACCCAAAAAACATAAAATTTTGTAATTTCTTTCCAAACCATTTTGTAGGGCTTAAAAAACAAATAATTTAGTATATTGATGCGTTATTATGCGCCTAATGGTTACGGAGAAAATTCCCGTATTATTCTTAAGGAGAATAAGTAAACTGTTGTAGCTTGCTTGTTTATGAACATATTTTGATCAAATTTGGAAAATGCATTTTCTGCAGGTTTGCTGCGGCGGGGGTACTTTCTATTAATTTTAATCGGTGAATCGGAAACTGAAAATTCTTTTTGAAACATCATAGCTGAACTCTTTTCGAATGTATAATGTGTCGATACTGAATTAAACCATAGACTAAACGATTTCACAAGTAGACTTGTCATCCCATTGTAAATTTTGAAGCTCGTTTTTCATGTCTAGTTCATGTCCGGTGACACTGGTGGCTAGTGTCGACAAAATTTTGTTTCTATTATTTTAGGATTAATTAAATGATTTGTGCGCTACTGTTTGGATATATATCTAGAGGATGAGTTATTGTTTATGATTATATGGTTTTATTTGGTTAAAAGGGGTTAAAATGGCTGAAAAAACAAGTAACAAATTGTAAACAAAACACAACATATACAGTACACCGGCCAGACCTCACAATAAAATTGGCTTCAGCTGTTCCATAAGGATGAGAAATTTACTAAGGGAGTATGTTTTATTTATGATTAAACTAACTGCCTTGTTCCTGATTGATTGTAATGTGGTACTGTTAAGGTTCGTGGTATATCGATTGTCATTACTGTACTTATTTGTTGATTCGGTTATTTTCCACGGCGACGAATCTTAAGTTTTGTGCCATAGACGATTAGGCCTACTCATCGACCAAGACACATATATTATATACATATATACAATTGTTGTAATGTCGATGGGAAAGAGTGGTGTTGAAATTATTATGTCATGGGAAACTAATAATGATAGGCTCAAACCTCATTGTATAAGGTCTAACGGATAGTGTCGGATATCAAATTTGGGCTCAAACTGACCTGAAATTTCGGATATCCGCACACCGTTTAGCAATATATGGGTCAACAAAAAAATGAAATATGGATAGCATTCTGAAGCGGCAAAAAGAGGCTATCAGAATTAGCTTAAGCTTAAACGAGATGATTCGGCAAAAAATTAACGCTGTGAATTACAGGTTTTTACAGTTTATGGCAATATTTATGAAACAATTCTTATCGCCAAAAAACATTAATCTGATCAAGTAATAAATTAAGTGCATTCTTATAGCCTACTTTCTTATAATTTTCTAAAATTTATCCCTGAATTCAAAAAAAAAAAGAAGAAACAAACCTATCTAAATTCAAGAAAATTCTAAAAGATCATTATAATAAATCTAGCATTATATTCTTTTAATGAGTTTTCCACCTCCCATAAATAGAAATGGTATTTATATTTTTAAGTATTCCGAAACTATTCATTGTACCACCAATGTACATGATTTATGACGAATAAAGATGTTTGAATATGAATATAATGAAAATGAAAAAAAAACTTGAAAAATGTAAATACCACAGTATTTTAGTTTATTGTACGACTACACCCGACGATGGAGTAATCTCCGAAACGGCCTTGGTGCTATAACTAAATCAGGATTACAAAGACAAGTAATCTATCTATAAATATAAATATATATTTCCTACAGTTCATTTTACCACACATTTTACTTACCCTTTGGCAACTTCCCCCCCAATGATGAAAACTTTTCAGGGTTCTTAAGAAACTCCACAACATCTTTGAGTTCTTGCTTGGCCTCATCAACCTAGAAAATGAAAATCAAGTATGTTTCAACTAGGCATGTGTTGATACCAAAATTAAGCATTTCTCAAAACCGATTCTTGATACTAGAATTTTTTTCTTATTTCACCGAATTTACTACATGGGTTTTTTATACAACTCCAGAAACCCGTCATTGTATACAGTAGTCGCAGTTAGTCTGGGCGCGCGGACCCTTGTGTACTAACCGTCCCCCACGCCAAAGCCATGAAGACAGCAGTGAGGCGCTGAACAACCCCAGAAAGTCGTGTGGGCCAGATGTTTTTGGAAACGAGCAATAAACACTCCCCTCTACAACCCCCGCCCTAGAGCAGCCGCGCGCCCAGACTAGCTTCGACTACTGTACCTATTAGGGATCTGCGGTGCACTAAAAGTGGTACGGTTCTGGCCTAATTACCGTCATCAGTTCGGTACAGCCTAATATAATAATAAATTACTTTCAATTTACTATCATAGTCAATGGTGGTTGGTTCCGAGCACATAAAAGGCTTATCAGGTGTTTGTTTATGATAGGGGTCTGCGGTGCACCAATAAAGTAGGTACGGTTCTGGCCTAATTACCGTCGTCGGTTCGGTACAGTATTTTACTCTGTACAATTTCGGTTCGGTACAGACTATAACAATTAATTTTCAATTCACTGTTGTTGATTAGGAGCATATAAAAAGGTTTATCAGATGTTTGTTCAGGATTTTCATAATTTATTGTAATGGTGCAATAAAAAACCCATTAGCAGTCCCTAAACCATTTGGGTAATATTTTATCATGACAATAATTGTTGTAGGCAAGTCAAGTACTTCCAAGAACTCGTTGATGCAGTAGTTTAGCTCATTAACCCTAGGACTGGCCTGGCCTGATTAATGCAAAATTGCTCGGTGCCCTGGAAATTTTGGCCATTTTGCAGAGGTTTTTTAACAGTTCACAGTGCCTAAAGTACTGTAACCTAGTCGTATTCATACTTGTTTTGTTCAGAAAAGAAAGGTGATTTTGAATAAAATAAAATATCAGCAATCACTGTTGGTGGTTTTTTTGTAAAATGTGAAAAAATAAAAAAAAATTTGGAATAATTTTTAAAAGCAGAGGCCTAGCATTTTACACTAAATTTTTTACAGACAATCTAAGATACAGTGGAGTCCCGATAATCCAAACTTCGGTAATCCGAAATTCCGCTTAATCCGAAACCAAAAAAGGAATTTTTTTTAAATTTAAATATAACTAAAAGTTTTGTAAAAAACTTTTTTTTATTCTTTTTATTTAACTTTTAACACAGTTAGCTGTACCTCGTCAAAGTATTCTGTAGCGGCCGAGCGAGATAGACTTTTTTTTAGAGTATTTTAGTAAATATTTAACCATTTTAGTTATTAAAATTTTTCATTTTCGTCCCGGGTTCCAATCCGCCAAATCACAAATGGATTTTATCAAGTGATAATGCTGCAGCCACTAGGTCTAGCCTTAAGTAATGTGAAAAACAACCCCGGGCTCAAGCATAGCGTCCTAAGACAAAAAAAATTTTATTAACAAATTTTTAAAAAAGTTTTAAATCTATTTTTTTAATTTTCAAAAAAAAAAGTTTAATCCGAAATATTTGGTAATCCGAAATGGGTCCGGTCCCAACCATTTCGGACTAACGGGACTCTACTGTATTATGAAATGTAGGCAATTTATTTCCCTTCGTGGAAATATGATTGATTTGTTTCAAATAATTTTTTTACCTGAATTACGGGGGAAAATACAGAAATTGGGGAAAATCAACAAATTTGTGCGCAACAGTTTTTCCGAAAACATAAAATAATTATAATTATAAATAACGGAGAAAATTCAAAACATTGTAAATTTAAAATTCCCAAGTTATTATTACGGAGAGTACATAAAATGTTGTAGTTTGCTTGTTTATGATTATATTTTAATGAAACTTGGCAAATTTATTTATTTTAATCTAAGCTATTAATATATTAATAAATCTCACTTTATTAATCTCCCTGTAGCAGCAAACCTAGGTTCTAATGACATTTAATGTTATTGAAATTGATTTAATTGAAAATCAAATCAGGGAAATGGAAACTCACTTAATCTGCAGGTTTGCTGTGGGGGGGCATTTTGCCTATTCCATGACATGCAGAGACGGTAATGCAACCTTTGAATGCAAGGAATATTCAGGTTGCTGCAGATCTCTGGAGGGAGTTGATAACACAAAACACTGAGATTTTTTTTTTTATTTTAGTTAACGGCCGCCATTTTGCCATTTTATTTTTAGATGCCTTGATCAAACTCGACCATTGACAACCTAGGCCAAGATAATGTATTCAAGCACTTGTGTGCCAAATTTCATAAAAATCGGTTCAGGCATTCGGTCATTATAGCCAATTCATGGCAACCCAGCATCCTATTACGGCCGCCATCTTGATGACGTCATTACGGACGACCGAGATCCTAAAAAATTGGGGTCTGAGCGGTTTTAGGTTCAGAAACTTGTATATTATAACGACCTAAAATTGCAGCCTCCCCGCCAGAACTGAAATATTTTCCTGCTACCCAACCCGACTACTTAACTTTTAGTATACTTACTCCTTTAACATCATTAAAAGTCACATTTATTTCTTCTGGATCTACTTCAGATTGGTTTCCCAACTGGATACGGAACACTGAGCCACTTGCACTAGCTGAAACACGATTTCAATTTAATTTGTTGCTGCAGAAACAACCATTAGTAAAGAAAACTATTTGGTATGGTTTGGAAACACTGACAAAATTTTATGTACGGATTTATTGAAGACATTTCCTATCATGATAAGAAAATAGCCCTGCTGCAACAAACTTGCAGACTAATTTGACATGGTGTCTACTAAACCTGGTTTGAAAAATTCAAGGAGTTTTCCAGGAGAATTCAAGACAAATTCCTGAATTTTAAGAACTACTATCGGAACCCGTTCAACTAATCGCAACCCGCTAATAATAATTTATTATTACTATTAATGATTATTTTAATTTAAAACAAAACTTTTCCAAAGAACAATATTTTATATAACATAATAAAACAGTATAACTAATAGGTAAGGCGACACCAGCTATTATCTCCTGCGATCGTGGGAATACCAGTGAGCATATCTTGCAGTCTCGTCAACACAGGCAACCGATCGCGGCAAAACAGGTTCGCATATTTTATTATTTCAGCGACACCGATAATCGTCTCCCACGATCGCAGGAATACCTGTGAGCATATCCTGCGGTTTCGGCAACACCGATAATCGTCTCCCGCGATCGCGGCAATACCCGTGAGCATATCGTGCGGTTTCGGCAACACCAATAATCGTCTCCCGCGATCGCGGCAATACCCGTGAGCATATCCTGCGGTTTCGGCGACACCGATAATCGTCTCCCACGATCGCGGCAATACCCGTGAGCATATCCTGCGGTTTCGGCAACACCGATAATCGTCTCCCACGATCGCGGCAATACCCGTGAGCATATCCTGCGGTTTCGGCGACACCGATAATCGTCTCCCGCGATCGTGGCAATACCCGTGAACATATATCGCGGTTTCGGCAACACCGATAATCGTCTCCCGCGATCGCGGCAATACCCGTGAGCATATCCTGCGGTTTCGGCGACACCGATAATTGTCTCCCGCGATCGCGGCAATACCCGTGAGGATATCTTGCCGTTTCGGCGACACCGATAATCGTCTCCCGCGATTTCGGCAACAAAAGCAATAGTGTTTGGTTAGCCGACGATTCCGATGACCGGGCTGTGGATTCCCGGAGGTTCGGGTGGATTCCTGGAGTTTTCCAGGACATTTCAAGGTAAGATAAAATTCCCGGAGTTTTCCCGGTTTTCCCGAATTTCCCGGAGAGTAGACACCATGTTTGATTTACACTAAAATATTTCCTTAAAAATGTCAGATTTAGTCCATATTTCAATAAAATTAGGTTTAATGAGACTTTCTGCTTCAAGGGAGGAAATAAATAATATTCTTAGCAAAATTTCAATAGATTAATATGAAATGCAAATTTTTTACAGACGATCAAAAAAGATATATCCATGAAAACGGTTTTAAGTTTTATGTTTTGAGGGTCAAAAATGGACTCCCCCATAAAACCTCTTTCAAATGGAGCGATCATGCTGGTTCACGGGCTCAAAAATTAACTCAACATAAATGGTGATGCTAGTAAACTCAACATCAACAAAAAGGGAGTCCAAACAAAGAACTGGTAAGATGGTAATGTTCCATTCATTACAATAGTGAGCTAAATGTTGGCAAAAACCAAACATTCACATAAATTAACTTGTATGATGTTTTTTAATAAGCTGCCTGAAGAAGCAAAATTAGGTTCTTTCAGTATTTAAACAAATAAACTGTATGACTGGATTGTCAAAAATCCCTTTTACAAATTGATGATTTTTTAAGTTGTGAAATAAATATTAGATTTTGAAGAGCAAGTTGAAATAAAGCTTTTATTTTCATGTAAGTGGCTATTTAAATTTAGATATATTTTACTGTAAACACTGAATCACCTTGTAACTATGTAATGAATAACCTTGTAACCTTGTACAAATGTTGTGTCCTATTTCTTTTATGAAGGTCAATTGAAATAAATATTACTTATTCTTACTGAGCCTTGTAATTTAGGATGGATTTATAATTTTCTGAAATACAAATGTGAAAAATAATCTAATATTAGAAAACTATATTGTTATTTAATTACTTTAACAGCCTCGCAGTGTGATATATGTATTTACTATTTCAAAAGGTCTAGTAAATTCATAAACACAAATAATCACAAATTCATCAATGCATTTATGCAACATGTTATAAGCATGCCCCAACTTCTGGGGATAGAAACATTTTTTATAAGTGTTTTTTTATGGTTGTGTAATTTTTTAAATGGAATAAAATTTTTAAAAAAAATATGTTTAAACCATGCTAGTGGGATTATTGGGATGGCGTTAGTTTTTCAGATTTATTTTGGTAATAGTATTTTGGTAATAGTTGATGAATACGATTTACTGTAGATTTCTATAGATTAATATTAAAAATAAAAAAAGGAATAAATAAAAGGTACCATTTGGCAGTCTCCCTCATACATACATTTTCTCTTACCCATGAGAGAGACAAAAATTCCAAAAAAGAGGATGATTGTTAAGACATGTTGGAGAACTTTAAGCCACTTTACTGTTTTGCTCTGATTCTTGTTGCCATGGCAGGCTAAGTAGCCCTCAGCAAAAGCAACTTTTATCTTCTGCTGCTCTTCCAAACTTAGACCTTCATCAGCCATCATTGCTGCAAAAAAATCACATCAAATAAAGGTTTATTTTAAATTTCAAAATACCCCTCCAGTAGCAAACCTCCAAAATAAATGAATTTCCATTTGTCTTATTGGATTATTACTGAAATAACTAAAACATGCCAGATGTAATCTCCATTTAAATAAAATTTAACAAGTACTTAGGTCTGCTGTTCAGGGTTCAGGGTTGTCAGAAAATTCTATAAACAAAATTCACACATTTTCCCCTGTTTTCCCGGCTAAAAAGTACGAAATTCCCGGAGACTAATATAGGCTACTTTTAAGAAAAGTCATCACGTAAATTGTCGTGTCGTTGTCTAGTGTCTACACTCTACAACAGTTCCGCCATTGCTACACGAACGCAGACAAATACTTATTGCCGGTCAAGGTTGAGTCGATACCGGCAATGGCGGCAATAATTGCGCATTGAACTAGAGCTACAACGCAACCGAAGGTATCACCTCAAACAATAGAACTCTTTGTGGTATCACTGAATGCGAGAATTGAGAGACCTTGTCAAGGAAGGTAGTAATATAGAGTTTGTTACAGCGACCAAATAATAGTCTGTTAATAACGGGTTGTCAGCGACCGGGAATTCGAGGAAAATCGGGAATTATGCGTAAGTTTTAACCGCCGTGAAAAAAACAAACTGGAAATATGCGTGAAAATGGTATTATTCAGAGATTATCCGTGAATTTAAACTATTATCATTATGCTACTTTATTTACCAGGAATTTTATAGTTCTAACAATTTTGAGTCAATTTATCCAAAAAATTGTATAGTGAATGTATATTTACCGAAGATTCAGACTAGAAATTAACAAGTATAATTCGGGTCCGCCGACAGAATACGCCGACTCGCCGCCAGCTCTATAATAACGTGAAGCGTGTAGCAGGGTAGCAGCACTGTCGATCTAAGCATATAGCCAAACTCGGACTCAAGGTTATGGCTTGAATTACGTCCTAGTTGAATCCTTGTCAAGGAAGGTAATAAAGAGTTTGTTAGCGAAACTTTAATGGCTCAGTATGACTTGGTTTTAAAAAATTTAGTCAAATATATCAATAAACAAGCAAACAACAAACTACTAAAGTTGACTTATTCTCCATGAGAATTAGCCTACACGGACAATTATGTACCATTTTGGAGATTTAAGATGGATCCTGTTTGATTGATCATTATTGATTATTGATTAAGGGTTACTTATTATTGATTGCTTATTATTGATTTAGATTATTGAATATTGATGATTATGGTAAATTGATTATTGATTGCCGATTATTGATTATTGATAGCTCATCATTGATTTTGATTATTATTGAATATTGATTAATGGTTCTTGACTATTGATTACTGATCGTTGATTATTGATTTTGAATATTGAATATCGATTATTTTGGATTATTGATTACTGATTATTAATTAGTAAAATTTAATTCTGAAGTACTGCTATCCTTTTTACTTTGAAACTGATAATAGACTTTAATTACATTTGCTCTTTTAACTGTATAATTTCAACTTGATTCGTTATCAGGGCATTCTTATCTTGAGATAAATAGAGCTTATCATACATATTTGGGTTTTTATTTGACATTCCAGTTAGTTTCTATTTGGTCGAATTATTTTAGAAATCTTTATAGCTACTCTAGTTCTTAAGTATTTTGAGTGATTTTGGTGACAATTAAATTTAGGTATTTATCGATTAAATAAAATGGTCAGGGCAACTCAAGTCATTGTAGAGTACGGTCAATTGACATCACAGGTGTTAGGTTTACCCTGCTTACCACAACTATAGGCAACACTACTGGGAGATTGGTTTCTTGTGACAATCGACAGACAACTTGCCTATATCACAAGGTGGCGCCCTTTCAATTAAATACTATTCATCGTAGTTTAACACCTCACTGGCCTATGGCACATCGCACCCCGCCCATTGAGCTAGTCTGGAGCAAACTTGTTGGCAGCTGGTCAAATTAGTCAAACTGTTACAGTACAGTCAAACCTCTATCTATAAGACTAATTTCAAGGGGTTGTGGAAAATTTTGTATTATCGAGGTATTTTTAATAAGGAGGTTCATTATATTGAGGCTTAATACTGCCGTTATTCGTCTTATAGAGGTTTCTCCTTGCCCTGAGCACATGTCAAACAATGACTGAGGAAGGAAGAGGGATGGGTGGGGGTTTCATGTTGAGACAAGCTTCTGTTTGTTTTGAAAACTATGTGCTATGGAGGTTAAGATCATGAGAAATTTGTCTTAGAGGTCGCATTCGTCTTGTAGAGGTTTTGTGCTAAGAATATTTGTTGTATAGAGAGAGGTTAATCAGTTCTAGCCCATATCACAAACAAATTCGTCTTATGGAGGTTTTTAACCTTATTACTACGTTGTATAGAGGTGTTTTAGGCCGGTTTCACACGAGCCACAAACGTGCCACAATCGTCGGCAGAAACGCGCCACTGGCAGCGCTTGATCGCGTGGGACCTTTCAGATGGCAAAAGCATGATTCCGCGATTTCTACCAGTTTATCGCCATTTCATACCGCACCTCCTTGAAATAAACCAAAACACCAGTCCGCTTGGAAAGACTACGAGTGCAGTTTAGTGCTACAATGGACGATGAAGAAGGCTTATTTTTTATAATGCTCCTTCATGCGGTACGACGTCAGAGAGTTTGAGTAATCTTTACATTCTTGGTCCCACAACACTGGCCTACACCCTAATTCTACAATAAAACGGTCTGTGTCAAAGTCAGACATAACTTAATGTTATAAAAGTACAAAAAAAAATCAGAACAAAACGGGGTGACTGGTTGTTTTGACTGTCTTGAGTGGCAAAAACCAGCTACAAACACCAAAATTGTCGAGAACAGAGCCACTGGAGGCGATTGCAGCGCGTTTTAGCGTCAAACGCAAAAAGACGCCACTTTGTGTGAAAGGCACGCCGTGCTCCAATGTTAAGGGAATGGGGCTCTTCTTTTCTGCGTAAGGTTGCGATTCTCGCGCGACAAGCGCGCCACAACAGTCAGAAGCGGCGTTCCGCGATTGTCGGGCGTTTTGTGGCTCGTGTGAAACCGGCCTTAGCAAATTTCCCTATAGGGAAGTAGCTATTACCGTAGGTGGCATGGTAAGACCTAGGCCCGGGACCAATTTACTTTTTCATCTTGATGTCCTCAGAGGCCAAAAACACCATTCGTTCAAATTTTTATATATGTATATATATATATATATATATGTGTGTGTCCGTAAACACGATAACTTGAGTAATTTTTGTCCGATTTTGATGAAATTTGGTTTGAAGGTGTAAGGCGGGATAAACTTGAATGAGTTCGCGAACCAGCATGATCGGACCATGGGAAAAGTAAAACAAAAACGGAATAGTAACCGGGGGTTTTATGGGATAAAATTGGTTTTTCAAATTTTATACCCTCTAAACACAAAATTTCCCAATTTCTCTCCAGACCTTTTTAAAGAGCTTAAAAAAAATAATAATTTAGTACCATCAAAAAGTGTTTGTACAAACATTGGTTACGGAGAAAATTCAAAAAATGTTATTTTAAAATTCCCATGTTATTCTTATGAAGAATATTGTAAAATGTTGTAGTTTGCTTTTTTATGGATATATTTCAATCAAACTTGGTAAATTCATTTATTTTATATAAAGTTATTCATATTTTACTAAAAACACACTTTTTTACCCTCCCTGTAGCACCATGCCTAGGTACTAATAAAACCTAATGTTAATTAAATACATTCAATTGAAAATCAATTCAGGCAAATGTAAATTCGCTTAGTCGGCAGTTTTGCTGCGCAAGGGGTATTTAGCATTAGTTCTGAAAGTTTCAAGGTTTTTTTAAATCGTCTTATTGAGGAATTTGTTTTAACGAGGTTCGTACTAACGACGTTTGACTGTACTGATAAAATGATTTAGTGGTGGGCAACAGGACACAAACCCATGCCATAGTGTACCACTGATACTTTGCACTACTGACTGAGCCACTCACTCACCACTGATAGTTTAAATTATTATAGATGCATTTATATGTGTCCGTAGGCATGAGAACTCGTGGCTTGTTCGGACCATAGAAAGGACTGACCCTGAGTTGGGCTCTTGGTTAGTTATTTTTGACAAATATTTTAAAATTCCAGTACACTTTTTTAAGACCCAAACCAGCGTAAAGAAATAGTAGCCTCTAAAACATTAGATTAGGTACACACCTGTATGCTTATTGGTTGCTAAAATATTAAAAGTGCTAAATACAGTAGCCTACATTGCTTCAAATTTTACTGATTGAGTATCAATTATTAAAATTTAGAGAAGTTATTCAAGTGTGCTACCTTAATATAAAAACAAACAAATAACAAAACAAAAGGAATAAATTCCATTGTTTTGAACAAGAGGAAACAAAAACATAAAAACTAAAAGAATGAAAAGTAATTCCCATTAAATTTAAAATGATAATCAAAGTGTTATGAAAATAACCTTGTTGTAGACACATTTTATGCATGAGGAACAATTTAACTCTTTTTCATAATAATATAGAAAAGGAAACTTACTTTTCATTCTATCCAATTCCGCTGATCCTATAATAAGTTTATCATCTTTCATTGTTGGCGTAGAATTTTCTTCTATTCCTAGGATGGATCGCACCCTTGTAATAAGACTAGGGTTTCGTAGAGTTTCAGCGCTAATACTTCTATCAGTCTTGAAGTTTCTTATCTGAAAATCTGACATTACCCAAGTTTTAATAGAGTTACTATTCAGGAATTACTTCTAGAACTAGGAAAAAGTTAAGGATGTAAAATAGAGCAGAAGAGCCTAGGTTTTTTGTGAGGATAGTAGGCTTGCCTGAATGGAAGCGAGTCCAAACTGACACAAGAAACACAAAACTTTAGATTTCACTGACAGCATTTTTGACTAAGGAAGTGAGAGTTTACTTCAGGTCCTACATGGGAAATTCTCTAAAAAGTGCTTGATAGTAAACTTACATATGTTTGAGGGGCCTGATGAGAAAACAATTTTATTGGCCAAAGACTTTGCTAGTTGCGACGTAATTTTCATATTGCTTTTATCCGTTATAACTCTTATCTTATCCCGAAACACAGGATTTTGTTCGATAGTCTGTTTAAGGGCGTTCTGCACAAAACCAGTCATGTCTTGAGACTTTTTAACTCTTGATGGACGAAGTATTTCATTAGCATTATTATTTAGAAGTGGAGACTTAAGTGCCTGGATTGGAACCTCTTTCAGATTGATTTCGGTGCAGTTTTTGGCAGCCTGCAACAAAATTATACTTTAAACAAATTTAACAATTTTTAAAATGTACAGAACCTGTTTTGCAGTGAAATTACTCTACCTCTCTTAATTTAGCCTATGTGTAATCACAATTACGAGTTTGAAAATTTATGATTCATAGTTTTTCTTAGTAGTTTAAGTACTTGTTCACACCAATAAATCGGACGAAAGACTTACATAATCACACTTCAACTTACAACATCGATTTGAGTATAACTTAATAAGCTAGTGCCTGACATTTCCGACAGAGAAGTAAGATACAGAGCATTCATGCACATGGAACAACAGTGTGCTTTTAGCTCTGGTATGGTGGGGTGGAAATGAACTTGTACAGAGCCAGAAAGAGTCCAAACGGCAATAGCATTGTTGTACAGTAGTAGAGCACAGGGTCTTCCTACAGCATGAGCACTGTAGTACGTGATGGCAAGGGGAAAGGAGAGCAAAAAGGGACAACGAATAGAATTTGCTCTAGACACCAGCGACTGGTGCTAGACGCCATTTAAGTGTACCATTGAATGTATCCCTCTGTTTCTTACTTCTCTGTGCATTTTCCTTTTTTATAATAAAACAACCTTTGAATCAGCAGTACTAATAACCAATTTTAAAAAGTATACTAGGCCTATATATGATTTATTTAAAATTAAACTTTTAACTAAAAATTTACTAATATCTTTCAAGATATTAGGCTATACCAATTACCAGGCCCCGAGCATGGAACAACTAAGGCAGTAAGCCTGAATATGGTAATTTTTACAGTGTTAATGGCATTCTACAAACGGTGTGATGTTAGAAGACAAATTCACTTCATTCACTCTCTCATATCAATTCACTTTTCAAAGGTGTTCAATTTACCTCACATATACTTTTTTCCAGTCTTTCTTCTGGTAAATTGAATCTTCTCAGGGATAAGTAGCTCCTTGGATTCACTGCGTTCAAAACCAAAGCCTGAAAAGGATGCACATATTTTATTACACTATAGTGATAAACCGATTGGAAAAAAACACAGAAATCAGAATCTTTATTGTATTTAAACATTTAATATACAATGTAGTAGACAACGTCAATTTGATCAATATGATCGATACAAATTAATCATTAACACTAAGTTAAAAATACAATACTATTTGTCAACATTTGTCAATCAAAACATAAGGTCATAAAAAGGATTTAGGCTTAGCCAGTTGGAATGTCTGTAGTTTATAATGAAGTTGGAACTAAATAATAACACATTTCACAGTTAAAATGCCGCGGCCGATACGGACGGGAGTAGCACGAGAGTTGGGTTACATCACGGAAGCTGCTGGAAGACTGCGAGGAAAAGCCAGGAAAATAGGAGCGTGGTCAGGCTGTGTTCTCATTGGTTGGTTGAGGATGGCGTAATCATCGGACCACGGCAACGTTTATTTACTCAAACATTGCCATCATGATACATACATTTATAGTGGCCGTACTCAGCAGAGTATACTATATGAAATACACTACATTTCCTCCCCCTTAACTTTAAGACTATCAAATAATACAAACAGTTGATAAAACTGTTTTGAATTAGAACATGGATATAATACGATAATTATCAGCAAAAATACTCTTCACGCATCGGAAAAGAAGACAACAATAATTACATACATAATATAAAAATTAATAAAATCCTACTGACCCGTTATGATATCTGGGATTCAACTCAAACCAAAAATTGTACCATAATAATAAAAACTAGCGTACATGTTGCTCGAATTCAAGCAATTGCAAAGTATTACAGGAGTTATTTCAAAACGAATAACAGACATATTTACAATGAGTTTAAAAGAGTCAACTCAAAGATTACCGGTGTGTAACTCAGACCATGTTTATCTTCGTTATTAATAAACCTAAAGCATTCCGGCCGGTTATGTCCTATTCCACCCGAGTTTCATTTCGCCCGTAGCCTAATTAGTCTCAGTTCGCCCACGGTCCCAAATTAACCCTTATAATCCTCAGCTGTACCTGTGTCAGAAGTGCATATTAAATACACTTATCAGTATCCATGCATTGCAATAGAATTGTTTTATTGTCACCACTGCCTAGCAACTATTTATTATAATTTATGGTGATTCCTCAAATTATATCTTCACATAACCTTAAAGTTGTAGTTGTGTTGACTATCAGTGTTTATTATTATTGTGGTGAATAGTGGTAATAGGGTATAGTGTGGTGAAAAATAGCGTTCGTACCACGGACCGAAATGGTTTTGCAGCTCTTGATCGTTTTAAGTTCTGACTTCGTCTCGAACTTAAAAACTATCTCGAGGCGACAAACCCTCATTTTTGGCCCTAGGTACGAAAGTATACTATTTCTCTATAGTAATACTAACAAATAATCACACCTGAGGTAATAAATTGAAAGAATAACCAACAAATAAGTAGGCCTCCTACAGTTGAGGTGTTTTCATCTAGTATGAAACATAACGTAGAGGAAAACGTTATGCTTAAATTTCAATAATTCTAGTTACATCTTAGAGTTGTTTGAATACTTGTTAGAAACTAATTTTAAATATCTCTATTTGCGTCGTCAAGGATGACTTACATTATTTCTGCTATAAGTTTTAACTGATAACTTCTAATGAATGCTTAACACCCTGCTTAAATTTGAGTTAACATGTTGCAACAAAGTTGTTCCATCATTGAGAATTGAAGAAAGAATTTTCTCCGTAGGGAATCCTGTAAAGTGGGGTGATGTCAACCATTTCATGTGGTCCATGTTTGACCCACAAACTCTGGGTTAAAACACAGTGATAATCCGCTTTTAATAGACTAAAGCAGCAGGCAGCAACACCATTGAAAGCTAATAACGTATTTTCAGTCACAGTTTATGCCCGCATCAGATCATTCTCACGTTGTTCAGTGGAGTTTCTCTTAATACTTGTCAGAAAGTTTTGAAAGTATGGATTCATTTGTCAAAATAGGTTGGATAACTCTTGTAGCTGTAAGATTTAGATAACAATTTTCATTTTCTCTTTTTGAACAGCGTATGTCTCCTGAATTATAAAAATAAACTTGACCGTAACAACTAGATCGTTGAATGGATTGAAGTGTTATTGTATGTTTCTGTTTGCCTGAAACGCTATAGGCCTAATCCAAATAATTTAACTTGCTTATTAACACATTTTAGATGGGGAGATAATCATACAGTAACTAACAGCACATGGGCAGTAAATTTTATTAATCTGTTATGTCGAAAACATTTGTAAATATAGGTTAGGCCTACTGTTGAAGCTTGTCCACCCAAAAGAATATTCCAGATTATAAAGATTTACCATATCTTTACGGCTTCATCAATAAGGAGACATACCACTTTATATTTTAATGCTGAGATCTTTGTGTTTCAACTTTACATTAATACTATGCTCAGGGAGGGCCTTTCCATATTTGGGGGAGGGTGAGGTCCTAGGAGGCGGTGCTTCGCCTTCGTGGATGAAATGAGACTCCTGACACAGGTAGAGCTGAGGATTAAAAGGGTTAATCTGGGACCGTGGGCGAATTGAGACTAATTAGGTTACGGGCGAAATGAAACTCGGGCGAAATGAAACTCGGGCGGAATAGGACTACACGTTCCGGCCAGTTTTCTCCTACTCAAAATGCCTAGCTGTACAGGCAACACAGGTCATCGATAGCGGGCCAATTGAGAACAAAAAGTCGTTTTGGGGTAGGGTTAGGGCGCATTTGTAACCTAATAGTTGAGATTGTCCAGGGTCAGGTGCTGACTGTGATGAGTTAAGCCTATTACGCGCCACTATTATAGCTATTATAGCTACACAAAACAACGATAAATTCACAAATTTAAGTTACAATCATGCTAACACGATCCGTCATAGTGACACAAAACAACGATAAATACACAAATTTGTAAGATACAACCATACTAACACGATCCGTCTTGGGGGTTATGTTTACAAAAAACTGAAATAGTAAATAAATTTACTCAATGCGTTTCGTTGAATTGAAAAATAAATAACGGCAATTAAATTATACAGCTGATCAAAATGTACACAATTATGTTCTTCATAAGGATAACATGGGAACTTACAAAGCCACTGGGGCAGAGCCCAAAGGACTTATTCAAAAATGTAAGGCCAGTTTGCAAATCTACGCGACAATGGATAAAATCGGTTAAGAAATGGCGGAGGAGTTCAACCGACAAAGTTTCATGTAGCGTATTAATTATATAGATAATCAATTGCAACACACAAATAAAAGAATACTCTATAGTATCTGTTTAAACAATGAATAAATACAGGATACATAAATAGATCATCATGACACAAAGAATATCCAGAACATTTGGTTTAAGTAGGCCTACACATTTTACAAGTTAAGGTTCTCGTTTGGATAACGTCGTTCTACTACTGTTTGTTTTAGACTATCAGCTGTTACTATACTACGTGGTGTATGAATTTCTGCAATGACGTCAGACTTCCGCTTAGTAGCGCTCGCGCGGAGAGGTGTATTTTGTTTTGGACTATACGATTGTCGTGGCGGTGTACCTGGAACAGCTGATGCCCCCACTACTACTGGCCGCTGCTCACCTGAAGGACCTGGTGGCAACAATGGTACAGACGCTTCTCTGTCAATACCAAAAGTGGGTGGTACACTGTTTACCCCTATTATTTGGTCAATATAACGCTTCCATATTAGCCTACATCATTTTTCAATCCAACCAAATAAAACACTGCGCTTAATTTTCTAGCTACTACACCTTCTTTTCTATCCACTTACTTTACCCCTATAGTCTCGTAAAATTACAGGCTGACCTTCAAACAACACTCGGGTCTTATTTCCGCCATAATTCTGAATCTGTTTACCCTGCTTCTCATGGACATAGCTTGGCAAGTTAGGTTCTTTTGGATCAAGCTTTGACCTTAAGGGTCGTCCAAACATTAGCTTAGCTGGGGTCTCATTTGTTGTTGCATGAATGGAATTTCTATATGCTAACAAAAATTTACATAAGGCTTTAAACTAACATTGTCATTATTCATAAGGCTAATTTGATCCTTTTCATTACATTTTTCACTGAGTTTTCTGCCAGACCGTGAGTTGCTGGATGGAATGGTGGTGAGAGTGTAGGCCTATGCTTAACATCATTTCTACTTAAAAACCCTTTAAACTCGACCGACGTGAAAGGTGGGCCATTGTCAAAAACTAATTGTTATGGTAAACCAAACCTCGCAAATAAATAACTCAATTTTGAAATCGTCTGATTAGCTGACGTTGAGCTTAGGCTGCGTTTACATTGGAGGCACTTGGGCAAGTAAAATAGTGGCGCACACTTGGCCAAGCTTGCCCTTTGAAACAAAATGTTAGCAGATTAACAAAATGTCAGATGGAAACCTGTGGCGACTTGTCCAGTCATGGTTACAGTGCTCACCACTAGCAAGCGCACGCTGGGGCAAGCTTGCGCTTCTCAAATCACGAAACAAATAAATTTGTTTTTGAAGCAAGCGTGCCTCAGTTTGTTGTGGTTCACTGACAAAGTAGCATAGGCCTAGGTTGTGTATCTGAAAACTGTTGTTTTTTATATTTAAGTGTTGTTATAAGTTGTTTAATAGTTCAAAATGGATACCGAGGTGTGCTTGATACAGTTCTTTAGTTCTTTTTTATAACTATTTTATAGTTACAGCATTATCATTGCTGTACGCTATTTGCAAATGAATTTTAACTTGTTAATCAAAATATATTGAATTTTATTTTCCTATCAAAATAGACCTGTAATAATGCTATGATGAAAAATTTAAGCTCATCTAGGCTTATTAAAATTATACTGTTTTAGTCGGTATAGTTATGTTTTTTATAAAATAATTAATTATACAAACATAACATCAACTTCTACAGTTTCCCATTCCCCCAACACGTTCGGAGTCTAATAATACAAATTTACCTAACTCCATTTTCAAGCACAATGTCTGCATCATCTGACATCTCAATTTTGACTGATCTGTGATGTAGGCCTACTGTGACTAGTGGGGACGACTACGTGTTCTTGATTTCTCTGCTCTAGTATAACCAACACCATCGGCAACTGAACGCTTGCACAAGCGTGTGCCACCATTTAACTTGCCCAAGCGTGCTTCCAATGTAAACGCAGCCTTACCTCTTCCACCTCCAAACATTTGCTATGTGTATCAACAATACCCGCAAGAATGGTTTCCATTATCTTCTGAAAAATACCTGGTGCTGACGCCACACCACAGGGAACTCTACATGAAAAGCCTTTTAGTAGTACTTATGGTACACAACTTCCTCGACTGCTCATCCAAACTCACTTGCTGATAAGCCTGAGATATACCTTACACATCAACCTGTTGATTTTAGAGAAGGTTTTAGTACTACTCAGATGTAGTATTAGCTTAGAATTGACTATTGCATGTACTGAAGCTGTATTTATAGTCAAAGCTATTAGGCTAGGTAGGTGTGCCAAAAGTCAATTAGGTCAATTGACTTAATCTCCAGCTTTAAAAAGTAGCCTTAAAAAACCTTCAAATAGTTCAAATGGACGATTAACATTGTTTTGCTCAATATAAGAATGATACAAATATTATAATATTAATAACACTCTCTCAATGCACCGTAACAACGTGATTACAACGCGATTTTTACCAAAAAGTTGGCCGAAATCTTTAAAATTAGTATTCAGGGGATTTTCCGGGTATTTCAAGACTCGATTCCGGGTAATTCCGCCTGTTACCACCAAATTTAGAGGGTAAATGAACAAGTTGTGTTGGAAACGCTGTCAAGGACTGCGTGAAGACTCCAATGGTAAATGGTATAAATCCATAACCTAACCTTAACCTTAAGGTATTTTGTATGTTTACCTTAGGCCTCAGTATATTTAGTCTTTTGACACCTTTAACTTAAATGCTAGTAGGCCTAGGCTAACTTACTCAGTGTGCTATAATCCTACCCTAGGCCTATCTAGTCTGTGTAAGTAACTCAAGTCCATCAACTTTTCCATTGACCTTAACCTGCTTTGACAATTTAGAAAATAGTGTAGGCCTAAGCCTACACAACTGAGCATCATGCAAAGTAGATTCAACGAATAAGCCCATTAGGAACAGCCATAAGGTTTGTCACATAAGCACAATGTTTATCCCAATCCTTGGATGGAAAATCACTGGAACCCATGGTCCCAAATAATGTAGGCTAAAACCTTCGTAAATCGTAACACCTACCTGATTGTGAACTTGAAGTGTGAACATTGCAAATTTAAATTGTTAACCAACACTCATACATAAACAAGTAAATAGCGTCAACTTCTATTATGTACAGAAGTATCAACGAGACATGACATGAAATATTTTATATCACAATATCACAATCACACCAACACCAGTTTACTTTAATTCAATTTTTCTATCTCAATATTATAAAAATTTCAATCATCATATCAGACCAGACCCAGTCCCCACTGTCCCCAGTCCCTGACCCTGGCAACAGAAAGAGAAAACCCTGAAGCTGGAGTAGAGTAGAATGACTAATGAGAAGCAACTGAAGTCTGGACTGGACTGGACTTAACAGAACCACTGAACCTGAACGAACACTGAAGACTGAAGTAGTACTGACGATAGAGATGGGAATTATCGTTGTTTTCCGGCAACGGTTATAACGATAACGCAGCTGCCCAATAACGTGTTGCGGCAACGTGTTATTTCAATAACGATTGCCAACTCGTTGCCGCTGTAAACCGTTGTCCGCCGGTCGGTGTTGCGGCATTCAGTTATCGTTGTCGGTTGATCAGTCAGTTCAGTTTTCGTTTTTCAGTTGTACTCGCGAGTCGGACGTTGCCGCGTTGCCCATATAGGATGCGTTATTCCAATTCTAGTTCGTTTCAGAAGTTATCGTTGCTCTGGTAGCGTTGCGGCAACGGCACTAATGGCATTGCATGTTTTCGTTTTCGTTGTCCGCGCGGCTTTCCTGCAACATTGTGTAGATAGATACGTTATTATAATAACAGGGAGTTCTTGGCAACGTGTTGCCGCGATAACGTTGCCGTGGCCGCAACACTGTTATTCATCCTGTTATGTTAAATAACGCCCATCTCTAACTGACGATGACGACTGACGGTGAGCAACTTTTGGGATACCTCAGAATGTGATCGTGACGTCATAGAATAGTTCAAGTATCGACCAACAACCGGATGGGCGGTTTTAGTTCGTAATCGTATCGTAGTCGTAAGTTGTGTTGTCAACAAATAATTGGATTGAAATGAATTGGCTGTTATGCTGTTTAATTTTAAATTCAACAAATTTGGGTGATTTAGGCCAATAGGCCTAAAACTTGCGTTTTACTTTCCTGTATATTAAACTCCATTTACTCAAAAGTGTCGAACTTTAGATACTTGATACTTACTTACTTGATACTTGGTTACTTCATCTTTGACCATTATCTTATAGAGGTTCTACCGTACCTACCTAAAAGGATTTAATTAAACATCAAATCAGGCAAATTAAAATTCGCTTAGTCTGCACGTTTGCTGTGGCGGGGGTATTAATACTAAGTTAAGTCCTAGCTTACATTTGATTGTCTCCTGGTAGTTTTAATCTGTAATTAAACCCCATTTTTGGGTAAGTTGGACAATGTATTTGGTTCCCAAATAGGCCTAGAGTGAAATAGGGCTTGAGTTCTTTCCTAATCTAATTGCCTGAAATAAAAGAAGCTTTACTGACACAAAGTTATCAAAAATATAACATTTGTAAATACAGTGTAGAATCATATTACAACAAAAACACTATAACTGAATTAAGGGCTTATTCCTTTTGGCATCTAGGTACCGTACCTCTGTCATATCCAAGGCCTAGGCCTATAGTGACAAAATTTGCAACTCCCATTTTAATTACAATTAATTAGCTAATTTAGTTACAATTAAAAACGAATTCAGCCTATCGCAGTCAGAATCCATAGCTATAAACTGCAATACAAATAGGTCTAGCCTACAATTTAATCATCATCAAATAAATCTCAATATTCTTTAAGTTATTTCCTTAGGAAATAATTTAATATTTGTTTGGTAAACGTTGGTGTTTTGTAGGAACTTCAACTGCCTTGCTTCGGGTTGCTGAAAGGATATCTGAGGCTTTTGAGAACCAAGAGTCAATTAGTCTGACACTCCTAGATCTGAGCAAGGCTTTCGACATTGTCTCACATGATGTCCTTTTAGGAAAGCTTGAATGTTATGGAGCAACTGGTGTCGTACTGGAGACCTTCAAGTCGTACTTGAGAGGCAGGAAGCAGGTTGTTGTGGTTGGGGGTGCTTCCTCTGGTGAACTTATAGTTGAGCATGGAGTCCCCCAAGGATCAATTCTGGGCCCTCTGCTCTTTCTCCTAATGATAAATGACTTCAGTGGTGGGGAGGAAGCTCTCCTTTACGCAGACGATACCACACTGATTAGGGGAGGAGCGAGCTTGGACGGAATCAGAGAGGCGGCAGCTGCTGACCTTGCTTTAGCAGAGACATGGTTTAAAAACAACAAGTTTCAAGTAAATGCCGATAAAACACAACAAATTATCTGCAGTTTAAGTCAAGATTTGGCCGTATCACAACACCACCAACCCCAACAAGTTAAACTTCTGGGCTTCACCATAGACAGGAAATTAAGTTGGCAACCTCAAATTGATGAAACGTGCAAAAAATTATCTAGAGTTGTCTTTCTGCTGCGTAGGCTAAAGAGTAGCTTAAGTGAAGCCTTTCTTATAAACATCTACCACGGACTGTTCCATAGTCACATCACTTACGGCATACTTCTCTGGGGCCATGCTACAGGGTGTGATGAAATGCTCAGGCTACAAAAATCTGCCTTGAGAGCCATAACATCCAGCGCTCATTTGGAACACTGTAAGCCAATCTTTAGAAGGCTAAAGGTGCATACTGTTATTGGACAGTATATATTCTCCTCCCTTGTACACGTCAGGTCGAACATTGAGCTAATAAAGACCAGAGGAGATGTTCACAGCTACAATACACGTAGCAGAAGCAAGATTGATATTCCTAGATTCCGCCTCACGGGAACACAGCGCCGATTTCCTGCCTTTTCTTGGAAGTTGTTTAACAAGCTCCCCCCAGAGATCAGCAATCTTCCGAAGAAAACGTTTGCCAGGGTTGTACGAGATAGGCTTCTTCAAAGAGCCTACTACTCCATGAGAGAGTATTTTGAAGACAAATGGTAGAGTGCACATCACCTCCGTAGTCACCCGCCAAGTTTTTATTTTATTTTTTGAAACTTTCAAATTTGTTTCTTTGAAAGATACAAGTTTTATTTTGTTGTTGTAAATAATTTATATTTATATTTAAAAATTGACGCAGTTTATCCAGCTATGCTGGTCAACAACGCAGCTTTGGTAATAAGGTAATAATAATAATAAGGAACTAAACAGTAAAAAACCAGAAAGGACACAGGAAACCCAATTTTTTAATTATTTTAAATAACTAAATTCCTAACATCTGCCTCTCTAATAAGTAAATGAAAATAACGTCAAGTCCAAGTCAAAATTCGGGTGGGATGGTGTAGTTTAATCAAGGAATCAAGACTCAAGTGTCAAGACTCAAGAGTCGAATCAAAGAGTCGCCAGAGTGTAGCTGTAGCAATCGATAGTTCCACGGTTATTCGATAGTTAAGTGACGTCACAATCACATTCCGAGGTATCCCAAAAGTTGGTCACCACGACTGACCTTAAAACTGAAACTGAACTGACTGATTCAGTGATTCGACTGGCTATGGGTGTGGGTGGGCTGTGGGTTGGTAGACGAAGACGAGTTGTGTTTGTTCTGTGTACGTCACTGTGTAGTGGTACACAACTATACGTACGGGTCGCTGTCAATGCGCCACCATGTCAAACCGCCACCTCGGTGTTTTGGTCAGAGGCGTCAACCCGCCACCACAAAAAAAACCAAGGTGGTGGGTTGACGTGTACGTACAGGTCAACCCGCCACCTCGACAACAGGCCACCACGACAACCCACCACCACACAATTTTCCGAGGTGGCGGGTTGTCGTACACACTCAAGTCAATGAGCCACCACGACAACATGCCACCACGACAACCCGCCAACACCAGTTTTTATCAGAGGTGGCGGGTTGTCGTGAAGCTCCATGTTCGATGTCGGCAACCCGCCACCTCGTACGTAGGTGACAACGTGCCACCCCGTCAACCCACCACCACTCTTTTACGAGGTGGCGGGTTGACGTGTACGCTCAGTGTTCGGTGCCGTCAACGCGCCACCTCGCTCATAGGCGACAACGTGCCACCTCGACAACCCACCACCTCGCGGTTGGATTTATCAATAAATAAATCGGTTGGATTTATATTCTGTAGCATTAGATATATTGTACTTTGATTCAGTTAATTTAGAGAAAGTTAATGTACTGTACCTAACTCTTAAATAGCATTTGTGGACATTTTAGTTTATATTCGGATGAAAGATTGATAGGTAATACAATTATTAACATGGTGAAAACCCGACATTTGAAAGGGTCTCACGCCCTTAAGGGTAAGAACTTTTAAATTCTAAAACCTTAATCCAAAACTACGAATTGGTCCGAATCCTTTAACACTAACACCTTAAACGTTGAAATTTGTCCACAAATAAGGGAAGAGTAGTGTTCACAAAACACAGTCCTCGCGTAATTAATATGAGATGATAAAAACGTATACCAAAAACAAAAATATAATAGTTATTTTACTTAATTGCCAGTGAATAAACAATTTTTTTTCATTAGGCGTATAAATATATGTTTTTATGCGCACCTACCACCATGTGCGCACGCAACATACGTGTGAAAAGCATGCATTTTATACATTTAAACCGGCGATAGTCAGGGATGCATAATTTGTTTTTCAGGATTAATTTTGCCAACAGTATCATTTAGAGGCTTCTGATTGACTATAACGAAGGTTTAGTAATTGAAAAATTATTTTTGTTCATAGAATAAAATTATAAATGCCTCAAAAACAATTATATGTTTTTTTATTATGAAATTAAACCGTCATAACCTAACCAAACCAACCAAACGTGCTGACAATGAAAAAAATCTAATGAAGGTTTATTAATCGAAAAAATATTTCTGTTCATAAAATAAAATTATAAATGCCTCAAATCCTATTTTATAATTTTTTATTCTAAAATTAAACTATCATAACCTAACCAAACTAACCAGACTTGCTAATAATGAAAAATCAAATGAAGGCTTAACCGAAAAAAATATTTCTGTTCATAAAATAAAATTATAAATGGGTCAAATTCAATTTCATAATGTTTTAATTATAAAATTAAACCATCATAACCTAACCAAACCAACCAAACTTGTTGATAATGAAAAAATCCAATACAAAAAAATAGAGCTACGGCTGGGATTCGAACCCGGGTTCTTCGGATCATCAGCC